GCTTCCAGGACAACGTCTGCGACTGAGTTGGACTCACTACCAATGTAACACAACAACGCTGTAAAAACTGGTGGCACGGCTGAACTTTACTCACCCCAGCAGCAGTGCCAACCCTGTTCAAAGACCAAGTCAAAAATCAAAGCAGACACCATTGCTGCCTAATTACTTCAAACCTCAAAATCACTGCCCTACAAGGACATTTGCGGTCAGATTACATCTCAGCGCACTGCCAATAGAGCAGCAGCACCACCCAATCATCTCATTTATTGACCCCTTTCACTGGGGCAGAGAGAGACAATGCACTCAAGCTGGGAAAACTGCAGGACCAGATGGAATCTTTCCAAATTTTCTGAATAACCTCATGGCACAGATTATCAAGAATTACTGGGAACTGCAAGACACTCTCTTGTGTTGCCAATTTGTGCAAAGCTTGTCCAGGACAAACTTGAAACCCGCAGCTTTTGCTGGGACCCATCAAGATCTGTGCTGCTCGGTACATTACATGGATGACAGCGTTGTGGTCCGTGTTGCACAGATCATGCCACTGATGCATGACTGCATCAAATCTGTGTTTCATTCCATTCAGCTTACAATTTAACAAAATACACGAAGGCAAGCTCCCATTCTTGTACGTCCTTGGTACACACACTGCCTCCGACAGTCTCTTAACATGTGTGTAGAGGAAGCACAAACAGACCGCACAGAGACCAAATCTTAAGTCCTCGATCTTTAGGCAACAACATGGTGAGCCGAACATGGCATCTTTGTCGAGATGCAAAATATGTACTGGCAAAGATCATATTTTGCCTGTGAGTTATTTATTTAAAAGATGGCCTTCTTGGCAATAAAACAGGTGTTAAGATGCTCAAATACCAAATATATACTTTTTGCAAGGCATGATATCTGCATTAACCATATGCAAATAATATATGCATTCTCTTTGACACTGATTTGCCTATACCAGAGATAGCCTTCTTTATGGCATTGTCTCACCAGTGTTAGACCAGAGAACACCAAAAGGCAAACAATACAAAGACAATGCATGTATCAGAGCATTTATAGCTCGGGTTGAGCAGTTACATCTTCACACTTGTTTTATTCAAATTAGATTCGAATCTTTCGTGACTGCAGGAATTACTCTTTGGTTCTTTCGGTAAAGTCATGTAGAAAATAAAATCAAATAATAATAGAATACGACGTTTCGATTGCCACACAAGCAACTGTCATCAGGTAAGAATAAAAAAACGTAGTAAACGTAGAAACACAATGCAACACAACACAGAGAGCCGGACAACACAACAGCCAACAGCCCACCTGGCTGAACACGCTTCTCCAAAGAATGATAAAAAGAAAGACAGCGCCACTGTGTCGAGGCTTTAAATCGAGAGGGTGTGGGGAGGGGTTGGGGCAGAGACAGAGGGGGGGCAGAGGACAATGAGAGAGTTGTATGGAATTCCGGATCACATTGGCCGGAGGCAGACCACGCTCCTCTTGTTTTATTGCCATAAAGTGTAACACCTGTTTTTATTTTTTTCATACTTTTGATACTGACAAAAAGGTCCCATAGCTATGGCTGTCCTGCTTGGATGCACCTTCCAAGACGCAACCTATCCCAACAGCATGTGTCCAATATCGTGGTGATGTCACTGGCGGCCAGTGACTGCATACTCCTTAATACCCAAGACTTTACATTTTTTCAAGCTCTTCCCCTGCTTGCTAACCAGCATGCACACTGCACGTCACCCATTTAAAACCCTAAAGACGGATCTGTCTCACATGACAGACGCACTACACTCTCAATTGTGTGAGGTCTGCAAGGCGGAATACATTGGCGACACAAAAACCGGCGGCTCCAGTCTCGGCTTGCAGAATATGAATGTGCAACCCGCCCATGTGAATTAATTGAATGAATTAACTTGCATTTGAAGTGCTCATTAGTGGCTAAACACGCCTTGGCTAAAGGACACCACTTGGATTTCTCAAATGTGATTATACTGGACCACACAACCAAACAAACAATGCCTGCCAGCTGCATACCGAGGGTAAAAAAAAAACTCCACTAAATATTCAGTTAATGACAACCGCTTCAATTTCATAACATGACTGTCCATTTCTGTCTATCGATATCCCCATCATCTGATTACGCGTATGGGTCTCTATACACTGTCACCCATGTAATCCGCTGGTGCTAATTTACACGGTTCGCGCGTTTGACTATTGTTCCCTAAACAATGCTGTCTTTGGAATGCATTCTGGGTTGTTTACAAGCCTTTCCCTTCCAGCCCCACTCCCACCTCGCCACGTCCCGTTAAAACCAATCATGGCTTTGGGATAGTGTATACAGGTGAAGACTGCAATCCCCATACTGTAGTCAAAGTGCCTCATTGATTAAAATATAGGCTTGCTCTGCTACGACTCATTGCCATGAGGCTTAGCAGTGTTTCAGCACAAACCGTTAATCTATGTAAATATATGAACGTTGCATTTTATTTTAAATATTACACTTATGGCAGTCATCAATTTCTAGCATGAAACTCTGAAGAAAGGCAATCACTCGCAATGTTGACATCATTCTTTACTGTGTCCATATTGCCAGCCGCCTCACTTGTGCTAATTGCTCATCTGAGCTGAGCACATCTGCCCGGACTAAACTTGCGCTGACAGGAGTGAAACTCGTGGCTGTGTCGGTACTCAGCAGAGGTCGCAACTGGGTACACGATACTCGTACTCTACCCAATACCCGGCTACCCGTACCCGGCCAGGTACGGGTACCCGTTTGCGACCCTGGTGTGGCCGGGTACGGGTACGGGTAGGCCGTGAGTCACTGGTGAGTAACCGTTTGTCACTCATTTCGGGTAGGGTACGGGTACGGGTAGGGAACGGGTACCCATTTGCGACCCTGGTGCAGCCGGGTACGGGTACGGGTAAGGAATCAAAACCCATTTGCGACCTCTGGTACTCAGGGACTCAGCATGATAATTAAATGTTAATGGTAGCTTACACATTCACTTGCAGTTATTTCTATACCTCGAAAGACAATACAGAACTCAGCTGAAGTTCAGGCAAGCAAATGCAACCTTGATTAATGTTATTTTAATTAGGCAGAACATTAATATGCTCGGTTTCTCCGTGCAACAGGTGTGTAAACGTTAATTAACCAATCAAAATTATTAAAGTGGAGCTTGCAACACGGTAATAGTCATGACTTGTCCCAGTAGAGTTAATTAAGGCTCTTACCAACCTGACAGCTGTGGATATATTCTTACATTTCTGAGATTTTTGCGCGGTATTTCTTATCCACATCTTGAGAAAAGATTTACCCGATGTTCCAATCCAACGTGCACACCAGACCCAACTGAACACCGCTTCCATTGCCGTAAGCGCAGAAAGAGCAAAAACGTAATATAATATTCCTTTCAAGGATGCCAAAAAAAAGAATGACCACATCCAACTAACTCGAGAAGATTGTTTCTTTACTGAGAGTGTTTGGCAGTGCCACTGCTAAGGAAAGTTTACAAGTGACCGAAAATCAATGGCAGCGCTGAGAATAGCACGACAACCGGCGGCGTGCACAGATGCACGTCGCGACGCGGCGACACAGCCCAGTCTGCTGCAGTGCCAACGGCGGTCATCGTCAAAGGGCCTTACGGGGGCTTGACAAGCAAGAGCCCTGCTCGTCGACAGTGACAACGTAATTTTACCACTCGTCTAAACAGCCTCTCTCTGCTCGACGTATTTTCTCGCGCAGCTGTGTAACGCGTTTAAGTTAAAGTAATATGCTGTGACACGTCAAGGGTTAAGCTCCCGTGAAGGGTGGCCGTGCTTATTGTGAGGCTGCTCGCTGCAAGTAGGCGGTGAATCTTTGCAACAACGAGACACAGAAAGCCCTGGGGTTGCTGCATCCGGGATGTTGTTAAGGAGGCCAGCAGAGAGGTTAGAGGTAGGGATGGCCAAGCCATCGGTGGGAAGGTTCAATTACAGATGTCGCTCGTTTTGTTGTGGCAAAACACGCTGGTTACGTTTCTGCCTGGAGATGGGATGTGACAGGTGTGACCCATGTGATGTACAAAGCACTGCTACACATGCCAATAAATCGTTTATACAGGAACCTACTTTTGTCAGGATTAGCCACAACTCCTACAAATATTTACAGACAGGCACAACATTTTGGGAGAGTAAGAGAATAATGCAGCGATTAATATATCATAACATAAAGCAAAATAGGACGTTCTGTATTTTGTTTGTGTATATTATGTTGTTAGACATAGTATTAGGAAAACGTTATTTCACCTATGTTATATAAGGAAAACTGCAGGAAAGAACCCTTAGATTTAACATCAGTAAGCTGTGTGATATATATTTTTTTAAATGCTGTCTCCAACCGCAAGTAAAAATATTCTGCCCTCTATTTCTGCTCTCAAGAGAGACCATAACCCAAAACGTGTCAACTACATATTTTTTATTGTTATAAGGCAGTGTTAGGAAAGAGGTGGTGAGGCGTTACGGGTATTTAATTAATGTATTGCCACAGGTTTTTCCCCTTTTTTCTGGCAACAAAACAGGTGTTAAGATGTTAAAACACCAAACTGAAACCTTTTACAAGGAATCATGTCTGCATTAACCACAATGCTTGTGGTCAGAATGCAAACAAAAAAACATACTCTGATAATATATGCATTGTCCTTGAAACGTATTGGTCCACACCAGAGGCAGCTTTCTTTTGAGCCTCGTCTCAAGCGGTGTTAGACCAGAGGACCACAAGCATTGTGGTTAATGCAGACATGATTCCTTGTAAAAGGTTTCAGTTTTTTGTTTTAACACATTAACACCTGTTTTGTAGCCAGAAAAAAAGGGGAAAACCCTGTTATAATATTTTGGTACTTGCAAAGGAGGTCCCATGATGTATTGTCACACTTAAGTGGCACTCTGTTGACAAGTGTTCCCGTCACTGAAAAATCCACATCAGACACGGCACGAGGACATGGGGGGCAGGCTCTCACCGGGCACCCGGCCGAGGTAGAGTGTGTCGGCAGCTCGGGGATGAGGTGCATGGCCGGCCGGCAGGCGATGCGCAGTGGGGAGGTAATGGTCCAGCTGTGGCCCGGGCGATCACGATGCACGACAAGTCCCCGGTTAGAGTGAGGCGCCGGCGTCGTGGGAAACCATGGTGAGCATTGAGAGTGGCAGAAAACACCACGGGGAAGGGGGTGGGGATAAAAAGGAGAATTAACCACGAATAAATGTGTTATGCAATAAATGGCAAAATGAAGACCAACTGGGGCTAATGTGACCATATTATTATTTCTGTGTGTGTGTATTTTGGTCGCTTATTATTCAGAGAAAGACAATCAGCAATAAATGTGTGCTTCACGCCATATTCAGGATACTGAATATGTAAATTTATAATTAGAATTTTTTTTTGCACAGAAGACCCAAAGCCAAACTTAATCATGTCGATTACACGTCGTGAGTTATGGTTGTTCCCGGCAGCATGACTACTCTCACCCTCATTACAGTGGCAGCCTTGCCAGCCCCTTTATCACAAAGCATCCTGGAGGCCCATTAAAACGTCAGGATGCTGAGAGCACTTTCCATATTCTCCCAAAATACATACCCTATTTTTCTTTGCAACCTTCCACGCTTGCATAAGCAACCCCTTTGCTACTTTCTGTTGTTAGGTGGAAGCCACTAATATCCCACACGTCACTTACAATTGCATTTGTATTTTATCTCAATCCAGAAAACAAATGGATTTCCTGCAAGCCACGGCAAGAGGCGGGGAGATGGAGATCTAGAAAACTTGATTTCTTTTTCCATCACTCAGCACGAGCCATTTAGAACTCCCGTAGAGACTCCGCTCACAAATATGCACACAAGTAAACAAAGACAAAGATTCCCTGCATAGCCTTTAACAGACTGTTGGGGAAAGTGCTGTTAGCGAGCACCTAATTAAGGTTGGCACGGCACACGAGGGGGACGAGTGACCAGCACTATGCCCAACCGCTTTTGTCCCCCTAGTAGAGATGTGTACACACCACACTAAGCACTCATTTGAGCCTGATACGTTTTAGGGGAGGTCCAGTTCAGATAATTGTCACTGGTGTTGGTCATGAAGCGGGGATAGAAATCGGGTCACAGGGTTCACAATAACTGCTACACTATCACTCCCCACGAAGGTAAACACACACTCATATATAGTACACATTTCAACTAATGAGCCCCCACATAACCTCCACAGACTGTTGGGGCAAATGCCATTAGCAAGAATCTATGAAGGCGAGTACGGCGCATGAGGGAGTGGTGTGGCCAGGACCATACCAATCTGCCTTTGTCTACCCAGTGCCAACATTTTACACACCGCACAAGAGACTCATTTAAGTTTGAGTCAAGGATGCCCAATATGTGGTTCAGATAATCACCACTGATGCTAGCTGTAGCTGGGAATCAAACTTTGGTCCTCCGGATTCGTAGCGCAGTGCGCAAACCGCTAGACTACCATCGTAATTAGTGCACTCCCCACATATGCTAACATACACACAAACCCACACACAAATGCACACACACATACGTGTACAAACATAGGCAACATATTTTGCTCAACTGCAGGCAGAGCATGGTAACTCTCCTGTGAACCCTGTCTGAGTTGTTTTTACCAGGACCTACGGGTGGAAATGTTGGTATGGGTTCAAGGTAGGGTTGATGCTGATGCATGCCGAGGTGCTGAAATGCCCATATTTACGTGTAGCTATTAAACCCCAAAGATGAGCAACCATTCCGACAGCGAACAGTCAAAATACGCGCTGCAGGCGTCGTACCAAAAAGCAAACAGTGAATGACCAACACATCTTGCTGCGGAGAAAAGACGCCTACAAAAAAACTGACAAACACACGAAGAGCGTGATATCAACATCTCCTTGAGCACACTCGGGCAGCTCCACCTACATGAGCATTCCCCAAGGGTTACAGGGGGATTGCAGGCAACGATCTTTATACGTTCTTTAAAAAAAAATGCCATTGTTAAATTGTGTAACTGCACACAATTCCATTTTTCATAAATCGTCAAACTCTAGGGCTGCTTTCGTGAGACGGCAATAAATTGAAAATTTATAAGCATTCCACATATGTATATTTTAACTCGGAATGCAATTTTCCTGGTGCTTATATTGTTTAGTGCGAGTGTACGGGTGAATGAGTAAGGGTATTGCTGAGAGAAGCCTCAGTGAGGCACGAGGAACTTCATTACATCTGCCCTTAGCTGTCCGATGCACGTACCGTTTACTGCTATTTTGATAAACGTTTGAAACTTCTCTGAACAACAATAAGCAGTTGCACGGCACCATCATTCTATGCGAATTTGCGGAGAGAGTACATTTTTTAAAAGATAATCTTCAGCCTGCTTGTTATTGCCAATCAACTGTCACCACCAAAAGCCAATGGCTATAACATAAAGGCTGTACTACACGCAGTGCATCTATTAATTTCACATCCGTCTTTTCAGTAAGCCTCCAGACGCCAAGGCTTCTCCATTACACCGTGGAGTGTTGTTCCCATCGCAATACAAGTTCACGGGCATATATCCAGGGTAAACGCTACATCAACAACATTATTATGAATATGGCATTGATGTCACGGTAGTGTAAATCACGCCTGTGAACACATCAAGCTGACCTCGTGGTACACCAGGGAAGCACACAACTAAATATAAGACATTGTAGATACAATTATGAAGATACACCAGCTACAAGCAGGGTTTGGTTGGGGTACACTGCTCTCTCAGTCTAGCCCATGAGAGGTTAGCTGCTAATCACAGAGCAATGAAATCTGTGACTTATCATTCTGTGCCAACCTGAGCAACAATCTGGGAGCTCTGCAAACATGTGTTAGTTTAGCCATAACCCATGAGGGCGACATTACAATGAAGCTGAAGGGATGCAGTGAGAAAGCAGCAATCTGGATGGTGCTTCATTCGCTCAATTGGTTGCAGTGAAGTGTCATCCAGGAGCGGGCGTATTGTGGCAACAGGAGCCTGGGGCAGCTCATAAGTCGATTGTCAAAGTCAGTGTAAAAACGCCAATTCAATAAATTCTGAAATAACAAAATGACAAGCTTAGTACAGTAATACCTCGCGAATGTGGAGGTTACGTTCCTGGAAAATAACGTTTTGAGCAAAACCGAGTTAGACAAATAATAAACCTTATGGTAAAATGGGGTTGTGTTCCTGGGTCCGAAATGATTACCCCTTCTCGTTTTGTTTAACTTTCAATTAGAAGATGATTTACCCCCTTATTACAGAAAAAACATACACATAATATATAGTAAAAAAGAATTGGGATGTTAATTAAAATAAATAAAGTGAACCTGAAAATTTTCTTGAACTTTCAACGAATGATGGTGATTATGAATGTGAAGATGATGTTGGTGGGGGTGTTGGAAGGGGATTACAAGGGTGAGGAAGATGTGCACGGGATGCTGGTAAAGCATGGAGTGAGACCACCGCATGAGAGTGTTGGGGAGGGAAGATGGCTATGAGATATTCATCTGCAGCGTCTACGAGTGCACCAGGCACTACTACTACTTGTCGACGCAGAGATGTGAATCTGAGCAGCGTCAAACCATGTATAGCTCAAACATTACCCTCGTGTTCTGGAAAACGTACCGCAATAAGTAAACCACGTATAGTCGAAACACGCATTCGATAAAACAGCATTGGGCAAGGTGAGACTGTATTGATTCAATTTTTTTTTATTTGGCCAAGTAATGATCTGGTTAAATATCTGTCATAAAACCCTTCACCACACAATATAGCCAAACAAATGAAATTGTCAGGTGTACAAACGTTTCATATGCCATGCTTCCCGTTAAGTTTTGAAGAACAATTCTCACAGACACATTTAGCAATTAGAAACAAGGTGTTTCACTTTAAGCTATGCAAAGCATCTTCATAAAAATCCAGGAAGTCAGAATAATGATTTTATGACAGAAATGTAACCAGATCAATCCGTGACCAAATCTGAAACATAAATTATGAATCATATTGACCGGCTGAAGTGCATGGAGAAATGACATGATGCCAAGGATGAAAGATTGAGTGATTTAATGGCGGACATGTTTTTTTTTTCCTGGTATCTGATTGGCTTGTGAAGTGGGGGCGATGATGTAATCCCTAGCAACCACCGCCATGTCCACTGCATTGGATTCTCACAAGGACTCCCAGATTAGCTTAAACTTATGTGTTTTCTCTTCTGACATTTCGGATATAACTACAATTGCTGGTTTTGCTGACTAATTGACGACACATTTGACGAGTACTTTATGCACTCAGACATGAGGGCCTGCTGGTTGGTTACTACTACCATCAGCCAAAAGCACTTCATGCAGGTCGCTGGAGGAGGCTATGAGTAGTGGCCTTTACTGAGGGGAGCACACGCTCTAATAATAAGGGGGAGGCTTAGCCTTTTCTGCTCAGTCTTTTATGCTCTAGTATAGTAATCATTATGCCTCCCTCTCATTGCTAGAACAGAAAATACTGTACCTAAAAGATTACATTTTTTTCTGAACTGCAGAGAAACTGCACCGTGTATTCATTGCTGCGACATCTGAGACTTAATGCAGTTAATGTCAGCTGTCAATTGATTGGGCTTAAAACAAGTATCTTCCAGAGGAGTTTGAAATGTGTCTGTGATCATCCCTTGTTTATATCACACCAAGGCGCAGCGTTCCATGCAAGTCATGTTGCAATATCGAATCGTTGTCCTGGCAGCTATGAACACAAGTGTACTGTAAAACATTCTATTTCACGACGAGACTCGCACATCGCACCTCCTGACTTTGACATTCCTCAAAGACACTGTTGTAACCATCAAACGCATCAAAACATCAACAGCCCAATGCGCACATCTTCATGAACGGATAATTAGACAAGCCACAGTCCGATTGCAAGCCAAACTATGGACCACATAGTAAACCACTATGGTCTGCACTGCTTCAACGGAGGCGTAGCAAAGCTACATGAACTTTGTTCTGAAGTCCGCTTGTGGTTAAAAGACCTCGACAATGAGATTTATCTCCGAAATGTATTTCCATACACAGTAGTAAAATTAGTATAGTAAAACAAATTTATACTCTTTGGGTCTTTCGGTAAAGCCATGTAGATGAAAATTAAATCACATCGCAGTTGTAATAATACCGGGCTTTATATGCACAGGAAATCCTCCACTTGTTTCTGAAGATTTATTTTTGAGAGGACCTTGCTTAAGATGTTTTTTTGCCAAATGCACGTTGAGCATTCTCGCGCATGGGAGGAAAACAGCGTGGCCAAGAGTAAACACACGCGCGTGTGTCAGGCGAGAATTCCGAACGAGAGGCCACGTGTGATCCACCTGCAGGAGGATGAGGGTGCCGCGCCGCGTCACGTTCACCGCGTGGACCTGCCCGTCGGCCAGGTTCCGCATGCCGGCCGAGACGGTGCGTGGCGATGAGGTGCCACCGCCACCAAACCACAGCTGCAGGCTGCCTGCAGGGACCCACATGCCACACACAGGCAGCGGCGGTGTGCGCCATGAGGCCGGCACGCATCTCGCGAGACGCACGGGTGAAAAGAAGGTGGGGAAGGGGGGTGAGAGACAAAGAGAGAAATATGCAGACATGCCCTGAGAGGAAAAAAGAAATGGCGAGCAACAGAAAATGTGAGAGGCGTCCTTCATTGTCATTGGCCACATGCCAAAGGGACACCCCATTTCACATAAGTATTTCGTCCTCATTAAGGAATAGCCATAACCAGTGTTTTGTATTAGAAATAAACTGCTAATACACACTTGAAGTGGTTGGTAGAAGTACAGCATACTGTATTATTTTTTACGAGCATATTGAACGTCTTCAAGCATCCCTAAAGATTTGGTAATTTCTCGCAGCTGAGACACGCCAGCCCACACACCACCACGTACATAATTGCATTACATCGCCATTTCCGTGCAATTACACTGCCACTATGCAATGGGGCGCTTGAATAGCACGAGGATGGCCTCATGGGTGAATAAAGTTATTTAGGTTAACTTCAACGAATGGGCTGCAATTTTTACTTATCTACATTTTGTAATGGATATTTTGCAAGTTAAACACTCCCAGGGCCAGATACACACCTTGATGAAAAGGCATGTGTGATTTTTTTTCCCATTATTAGAAGCTGGGAACATGAACACATTTCGGACGAAAATAAGTGGAACATTTACCTACACAAACTCAAGTGCTCTTACCCAGGCGAGAGAACATTATATTAACCATTGAAAATGTCCTCTATGGACACCTTAATGGTAGGTTTATAGTGTAGAAATAAATTGGGATGCTGCCATGGTGGAATGGTTAGCACACTGGACCTGTAATGGAAACAATGGGGACGTTCATTAAATCTCTCCACGCCGCCTCTATCCATCCAGCAGTATAAAGGGCACACACACCGCAGTTAGTCAATCGGCAGGTCGCGTGTTGAGGAGTTAAAGGGTGGGTACTCTCAACTCCTCAAAGATGTCTGGTCAGTAAAGTCACGTAGAATGAAAATAATAAAAGAATAAAAATAAAGCAGAAAAATAATTAATTTATGATGGGTTTTTATTCTTTTATTATTATTCTCAAATAATTATTTTATTATGTTTTATTTTCATTATTTTATTATTTCCATTCTACGTGACTTTACCGAAAGAACCAAGAAGATGAATCCCTGCAGTCACGAAAGCTTTAAATCGAAAGATGTCTGGTCAGTGTGTTAGAGTAGGCTAAAAACTTCCAGAGGGGCTCTCTGGAGCTCCCTCTAGTGGAGGCCCTTCCGTCACTAGTGACGCGGGCGAGCAGTTGCAGAGCTGCACTTTACCGTTACCTTTTCCTTATATTTTCACGCCTCTGCTCCATCGAACACACCTCAGTGTGCAGAGTGGTTCAAATGTACGTGTCGCCAAAAGATTTGTGCAATTACTGTGTTTTTTTTTTTATAAAGGTGTTTGCTCCTGTTTTTTATGACCTATAGTAAGCACCATATGGCTGCATCGAATTAAAATACTTTCTATGCACGTGCTGTCGAGTGCTAAAACTGAGTAGTGATAGAATACAGGGACTCCTCTACTTACGAACGAGTTATATTCCACATGTCTGTTCGTAAGTCCAACTTTACTCCTGTCGATTCCAATCATGTTGTACGGCATGTACACTAAACACGGGGAATGGCTTTAAAAGCTGTGTCATCTCCTGTTAATGTAGATGCCACTGGTTCTTCACGTTCTGCAGACGTAGATGCCGCCAACGCCATCTGTTGCGTGGCGGTTGAACTTACGACTCTTGGTCCAAACAGGCAACTGGACATACGGACAGGTTCGTTCGAATCTCTGAAAGTTTGTAAGTCTAAGGTTCGTAAGTAGAGGAGTCCCTGTACCAAACTATCATTGACTGCCTTAAACCTAACTGCTGTGTATGTGTGCAACTTTTTGTCGATCCACTGCTGGATGGGGTTCTCCCCATGCCGTGTGGGCCATGGAAGTTATTTGGCCATATTTCATGACGCCAATCAGTGCGGGGATTGGCTGAAGGCTGATAGCATAAATGTACAGTACAATATTGGATTTTATATGCTGCTTTCCACTGCACACTGACCTCCTATAGTCTTAAACCCATATACAGGGTGGACTAAAAGTCAGGATACATAAGGCTAAATAACCCATTTGATTCAATGAATCAGAATGGGTTATTTCGTTTATGTTAACAATTGCTCATACTGAATTCCATGCACATTAATGCATGCATTAATTATTTTTTGGAATTCATTGAGGGCTTGTTTTAAGAGTTACGTGTACTCTTTGAATATTCATCAATTGCGTTTTGTCTCAATTCATTCAGGATTTTGTAAATATCATCTTAAAAGGAAGGCGGAAAATAGATAGTAATAGTGGTAACAGATACATTATTAAGCTAGAGAATATACAATTCAAATGTATTTTTTTGCCAGTTGAAAAAATAAATAAAATAAACCTATGTGTCCTGACTTTTGGGTCATCCTGTAGACTGCCCGCCCATCCAAGCATTACACTGGTCAACACACTTTTTCTGGCATAAGGTATTCCAACGGTCTTAAGGTAATTTTGGGGTGCTGATTCCAAATCTGGCATCAGTTTTTGTCTATCACATCATGTTTTTGAGATATCAAATATTGCATTTTAAATACAAACTGCAGAAGAAAAATATTAAATAAATGTGGATATCTACATAAAATTATATTATAAACACACTATCCTAAAAATACAGCACCATATTTTAACACTAAAGCAGTCACTGACTCGCAACAACTTGCAATCATAAGTGACAGAGTTAATTTCGGGTAAAATCAATGAAAATGGGGTATGCCGATAGCATAAAATGAGATGTGATAGAGCAAATCTGAGATCAGATTTGGAATCAGCACCCTGAAATTAGTCTAAAACAGCTGCAAAAGTCCAGGCCAGAAAAACATGTGTTTTTTGTTTGTTGTTGACCAGTGTAATCAACGTTCAGTCAAGCTTAGCTTCTGAGATCTAAAAAAAGCAGATGCATTCTGGGTAACTTTATCATAGGCAATTGGTACCAAGCTAATTACGGAATACCATCCAGCATATATATTGTTTTCAGTATGCTAATTTGAGTCATCAACAGGAGATTTCAGCATGCAGGTCATCACGTAATGATGCGTGAAGAAAACATTGTAAGAAAAAAGCGAACAACGCCGTTAAAGATAAAGAAGATTTTGGAATATCGCACACTTTAAACAGTCAGCACACAATCGAATGTTAGCAAACATGCATGAGAAACGGAACCCTCTGTGTCCAAACAATTACACCACCCAATCAAATTGCTCCAGGCAGCTTCCGACAGGCAAGGGGCACACAAATGACTCAGTCAGCAAGATTCACATTAACTACACAGTCTATTGAGCCGAGACAGTGGGCAGCGGGGGCCCATGTGACCAGCACCCATGGGGCCACAGTCATTTTTCATTTATAAAACTCTAGCTGTTGGATATGAATATTGCATTTTTAAATCAATGTATGCATTACTGTAAAACAATGTAATTAATCCAATACAGTCCATTCATAATGAAGTATTATATTAATCTAGGGATTATTTTTCCATTGAAATAATTTAAATAATCCTTCAGTATAGGTCTTGGGGGAGAATGTTTCAAAAGCCAACAACAATAGGCATACCCAACTAATGCATAATGTCTGCACTCCTGTATATTTAATGACATATCAATGGCACACTGACATTTATTTAGAATTGAAAAGTTAAACTGTGTGTACATATTTTATTTGTATCATTATCAGAGGCACTTAGTTCACAAAATTTCACCAATGTATTCCCATGCTCTCTAACAAACCAAGAGTTTTTGTAAAATACCCCAAATCAATGTCTGCTCAGTGGGAGGTCACTCCTTTCCCTTTGGTGCCTTATTGTCTAGAACTCACTCCCTCTGCATATCAACACTGCAGGCTTCCTTCCCACGTTTGTGTTGAAGCTTGAGACTTTGCAATTCTCATCCGCCTTTTCTCGCTCTTGTAAAACATAATTTCCCCCCAAACCTCCCATACACTTATAAAATAATTCGCAGCCCTTTGTCAATCTTACTGCTAAATGCAGGTCTCCCCACACTGTGTCAGTCATTGGGGTAATTCGACATTGGTAAGTGTGGGTGAAAGGAAGAGGGGGGCTAAGGCCGAATCAGATATCAATCACCGCTAACGTTAGCCAAGGACGGGAATCTAACTCGGGTCCCAGTGTCCATAAGCGCAGCGATCAATGCAGATTAATTTCCACACGCTGCACTTGGGGAGAGGGGAGGGGGGGAAGTGGGCCGCATGGCGAGAGGGACTTGCCGTTGTGCTCGAGGACGATGGCGAGGTAGGAGGATGGGTATGCGTGGCTGCTGGCGTGGAGCAGCACAGCGGGAGCATGCACCGTGCTGAAGCTGAAGATCGCCCTCTCCTCATCCAGGTCATCCCTGCCGAGACTGGATGCTACCTGCCGCCATTGTCCCCTCCTCCTCCTCTGCTTGTTCGTCCTCGTCCTCTTCTACGCTCTGCTCCGGCGACGACTCCGAGTCCAGGGAGAACTGCACCACTGTGCCTGCCTCGAAGTAGGCACCCACCTCTGCGGGGAAATGTGACAGCCACCAGTGCAGTGTGTGGTACAGCCGCAAAGCAAAGTCAAATATCCATGGTATATCAAGCGGTATCCCAGCCTGGCATAGGTATCCTCCTAGATCCGTTTAAATGAGTACGACTTTATGTGGCAAAGATTACCTGGTTGGTCAGGTGTAATGCTAACCACAACATACAATGCATATACACAGTATACAGAACATTGTATGTACACAGTGCTGTCAATAATAAAGGTTTTTGGTGTTTGAAGGCGTAAACGTGTGTCGTTAAACCCGCCACCACCCGACACAGCGAATTAGTAAGGTTTGTCACGTAAACAAAACGTGTCAATTAGTACTACAGCACACCAATGTGTTGGAGAGTAAACCCACAGCATTTACAATTCGAAGACATTTCGCTGGTGATTACAACCAGTTTCATCAGGCGATAGCTAGAATTGTGAAGAAGTCCTCCTGTTTCGGTCTTAAATAGAAGGTGTAATGGTGATGTGTTCACTGTGTGCCTATTAGGTGCAAAGACCAGAGGGGGGGGGGGGCTAATGTAGTCATAAATGTTGTTGGTTTATTCTCCAACACACCAGTGTGCTGAAATAGCAACAAATTGGCACGTCTTGTTCACGTGACAAATCTTACTAATTGGCTGTGTCAGGTGATGGCAAGTTTAATGACACTATATTTACGCGATCTAACCCCCCAAAAAACATTTATTATAGACAATATTGGTTGTGAAAGCCGACGTGTTAAATACACAATGCTGTGTTCAACCAACATTTCTATTTTGTAGATTGTAGCCTAATAGAGAAGGACACTGTTATTATCATAAAAATAATGGACGTATAAACTTCGGTTTGCAAGCAAATCAGCCAGCTAATAGAAACAGCCTACTTGTCCACTGCTAGAGCCTGCCACATTGATCTGAAAAAAAAATTGTCCCTTGAAAACATTCTCATGCAGATGTTGCAATTCTCTTCACAATGGGAATGTTAACAACTGAAAGCGCTGTGGTGCTTTGTGCAAGCAATCACAGCGGGCCGCTATTAGTCAGTTTACCAAGGCTAGATTGCAATAGGCCCTGGAGAATGGCTGGCTGCCATTATCAAGGCCGTTACCCAAGCTACTGCTCCCCGCTTTGTCACTGCTGATTTTTCACTCGAACAAACATCAATTCCAATATACGCCACTCACACATGTCACTAAACTGAAGCACTTTGAAAAGAACATATATCGTGGTGCTTGCTGAATTAAATAATTTGATGATTTGCTGTTTTGAACGTTTTAATTAGTTGCATTTAATATATTAATTACGCATTTAAAATGCAAAAAAAATATTGCAAACAACAACGTTTCCTCTTTTGTTCTTAGATATATGATTAGCTGTTCGTTTTTTACTCTCAAAATGAAACTCAGTAATACGTGGAGACTCTATGACTCTTTGTTGTGCAATCCCGTAAAAAAGCATTGACAGCGTTTGATTAAGGCACACTGTGAGTGCATCTGACCGATTGAGTCATCCGCAGTCGGATTTGGGGGCAGACAAGACCTGGGCATTGGATCTGATACAGGCACGTGGAGAAGACTGCTAAGCGAGCACCTGCTGAGATCCACGGACTTTCATTTTTTTTCTTTTCTACCACCCGACAAACCAGAGCACTAATTGGAGCGCGACACAAGCAGTGCAATCACCTCGAAAAACTTCTGCGCCAGAGTTAATCCGTGGAAATTCACTTATTTCATCATGCCCTGATTTAAATGTCTCTGCTGCTGCACAGCAGCGTGCTTCCATTTGATTTTCAAATCTGCAAATTCATTTTTCTCGATTGCAGTAACGTATTTCATGCATTTTAAAATTGCTCTTATGCGCAATAACAAAAAAATATAATTTGTCTCTATTAGAATGTCAACTTTCACTTGTTTTTATAATTGCCTGAGATATTAAACATGCCGTATTGCTGTTATTCCGTTGGAACAATACAATACCAGTTTGTCCACACATTTATAGAACAGGATAGAAAACTGCACGTTTTATTCCAGTTTATTCAACAGTGTTCGAACTATGCTAAGCTGCTGCAATTGCAACAGCTTACAATGGTTACACAGGAAATAATAAAAACCTCATTTGCCAGTAAAAATATGATAATTGGTTTTTTACCCTTCTATCTGGCAACAAAACTGACACCTTTTTACAAGGAGTCATGTTTGCATAGACCGCAATACCTGCAGTCATAATACAAACAAAAAACATAACTCTGATAATGTGCACTGTCCTTGAAAACCAATTATCAGGAAATAATAAATTACACGGTCAGATGTCAAGATGTACACACAACACATTTACACCCACAATAGGGAACAGGCACGTTACTCGTGCCTGTGATTCTTGGATACTGTGTTACTCACCAACTCTGGACTCATTCTACGATCAATACAATCGTCACAACATCGATACATTTGTCTGAGCATTCCCAAAGCTCTTCAAACAATCCGGATTTTCTTTTGCTGCTGCTGCTGCTATTGCATTCTTTAGCTGGATTGCCTTTGTAATACCATGCTGGACATTAAGGAAGACTCTAAGGGCTATGGGAAAACGTTAAATTGCATGAAAAAAAGGAAAATGACTTTTATTGTTTTATCTCTCTCAACGCATCACTCACAACGGCTCAATTTGATCAAATTGTCAATCTGTTTGCGAGCCGCGAAGTGACGGGGAGCGGCGAGGTCGGAAAAACCACCAACGATGCCTCTGTTGTAGCTTCTCTCCGCGTCCATTTGCACGTCTGGCGGCACCACCGCCAAGTTTATCCACCATGGCAGCCATGCACCTCACGTTCACCGCGCTTACAGGCAGCACACGTAGGGCTACAGCGGCCGCGCGAGCACCTCCATCCATCAAGTAAGGGAGGGTCATAGCGCCTCTCACCCATATGACTACAGACATAAATAAACATGTGTGAATACGTTCTGCACAAATCAAGCGCATGCATGTGCACACGCGTGGTGATTCGCATGTGGCGATTCGCACGTGGCGATTCGCGAACACTCCGCGATTTGGGGTCACGATTGGATTCTTCTTTTACCAGTGCAATGCAATTGGAATCTTGAGCGGTCGCGGGGGGGGGGTTGTGTCGCCACAATTGTATACAACTTATAAAAAACGCAGGAATCGAAAGTAAAATATTATCACACGTACGTACAATTGCATGGATGTATTGCGAGCGTACACATTGATTTAAATTGATGCAGTGAACGAACCAAACAATTATAGACGACACATCTGATGTGGCTGGGTGACACAAGTGGCGAATACCATGTCTGGGTTTGGTTTTTGGTGAAAACAAAATTGTTAATGTTGGCCTTTTAGACATTAATAATACGCCAAATTGATTGTCTGAGCCTGAGGATCACACACACAAAATAATATTTTTTCTTCACTTCTTTAAGCATATTTATAGCCGAGGACTTCTTCACTATATAAGAGGGCATGTGATAAAATGTCATGGCCCGAGTGTAGATGAGAAGCTATTTCTGTGAGAATAGAATACGTTTTGTGAAATAACCTTGTAGAGGCTGTGCTCTAACATGGGGTGACACTCCACTGCCGAATGGAAATATCTTCATCTTATAACACAGCCTCGATAAGCGCAGCTGGAATATATCTGGGAAAAAGTAAAAAAAAAAAGGGGTTTATAACAAACAAAAAAACAAAGATCGTCTCACCTTGCGTGCAGAAAGGCCCGTCGAATGGCGTGTGCGTGCAGTCGCACGTGTATCCGCTGTAGCGCTCCACACAGCGCCCGCCGTTGCGGCACAGCGACCCGTAGCTGCTGCAGTGGCCCGTGCAGCCAGGGTTCACTCCACCAACCGCGCTGCGCGCTCGCTCCTCCAAGCCGAGCGTGGCGCCGTTCATCTGCAGCGCGCGCAGGCAGCCCAGGAAGCCTCTCTTCCCGGACGCAGTGGCACCTGCGCGTGGCACAAGTCTCGCCCGTTAGAGGCGTCGCCTGCGCGTGCCTGTGGCAGGCACGTGCCACGCTTGTTTTTTTTAGCGCCTGCATCAAACAGCTCTGCTACAGTGAGTACCACGAAGCACCGATACGACAAGTTGGCAGTCGGAGCGGGAGGTGTTACTTTGACACACGCGTGGATGGATTTTGAGTCAATTGTTTTACTGGGAACAGTGCAGCAGTGCAATGCTTGCGTAATGTGAATGTTCTGCCTCTTGGGTGCAGTGATGATGTGCTTACGGCGACTTGTGAAGAAAGAGAAACAAGCAAAACACGACTGAATTAAAAAAAAAATCTCATCACAAGAACATACAGTAAAAACATTTTTGTAGTCACTCGGGGAAATAAAATTGCTCGAAAAACCGCAAAATTCTAATACATATTCGTATAAAAAATAAATATATATAAAGATTTCAGTAAATTAATGGCACGAGAAACTTGAATTCGCGCAATACGTTTTTGATTGGGCCTCTTAATAGCCGTGCCATTTGCCGATTGGAAAAAAACCATTTCAGGCCCAATTGCATTTGTTGAACTTTTGCAGATGCACCTCGTGTAGCGTGTTCACCGTAAGAGTGCCTTTAAACTGTGAAGTGCCGCTCTGTGGTCACCAGCCTCTCTCTTCACCTGGCAATATAACACCTTGCTATCTAAAATGGATTATGCCACTGTAAAGTTCGTGTCTTCATGATTATTTAAAACAAAAGTGTAATACATACTGAAAGCTGTTTAAAACTGTGCGGCAAATCAGACTATGCCTAATTTAAAACTACACAGCACAAACCTTAATCTTCTGCAAAAACACAACTCTATTAAATCACATGAATCTTTAAAACGGGAATAAAAATATTTTTAACGGTGATTTTTGCTGTGCAAACAGACACGGAGGCAAGGGAATTCTAGATTGTTTGGGCAGCTGATCCTTGTTTTGAGAGCAGAGGTTGACTGGAACATGAAAAGAGAGCATGGGTTGGTTAATTGTGTGAACCAAGTGCCTCACCGATCAGGGTAAACATTTAACATGTAGAATTAATTGAACATTTAAATATCAATTACAGCACACACAAATACCTGGAACCCTTTTGGTAGTTATGCTCATGCTAAAGTAACCTTATGTTGTAATTACCAAAAACTAATGAACACATGCAGTCATATCAAAGATGAAGAGGCCATCAAGGGCCAAGTTATAATTTAATTCCTTTTGCAAAATCCTTCAGATATTGTAAAATTTACACCTAATAATAATAACATTTTATACAGCGTCGTTCATGCAAAAACTGCATCTCACAACGCTGCACAAGACAACAGCTAAATAAATATATGTATTGTCCCTCGCAAGAGACATAGCACACCCAAACCAAATGTCAACTCAATTAAAGACCGTAGTCAACAAAAAGGGTTTGAAATGGGACTTAAAAAGTGGAAGGGACTTCATTTGTCGAATATGGAGCGAGAGTGTGTTCCACACTGTGAGAGCTGCAGATGCGAAGGGCACGCCAACCAACTGTCTTTCATTTCATTTTAGGCTGAATGAGTAGTTGACCTCACATATCTGCTCTTGCAGTATCCCATCATCTGGAATTAGGTTCGACCTTTGGTCACTGTGACCACGTGGAGCCACCGCAATGGCTGCCTCTACAAATTGTTCTCGCCCACCCTGCAATTGCTCAAGCCATCTTCACGAAAACAGCCGTACAACTCTCAGCCATGGTCTATTTCTGAACATCCAAGGTAGCTTACATAATCCTGCCAAAAAATATACTTAATTTTGTACATATACTCATTCAGTGGTTATAATATGGCAAAAAACTTACTTAAGGACAAATGCATTCCCGTCTGAATTGTACAATAACAAAGGGCTGCCTATGAAAGATTGCTTCTCCAACACTGTTGCACTTCAAACGACGGGCGTATGGCGTGGACTATGGCAGGAGCGGACCGAGACACATTTGGGGCGCAGTCAACGAGATGACGCCACAGTGTATGACGTGACGTTGGGACTTGTTGTCACGCGTTTCGACGCCATCAAGAGGTGCGCACATGGCATGTGATGTCATCACCTTAGCCCAAAAGTGGTAACGTTGATTTTGCTTATCGCCAAGTTTTGGACAACCAAGGGCGGCACCCAAAAAAGTAAAATCAGGTATGTAACCTCACGGGGCGGTTACATGTATTTGTTGATGCGGGCCCCTTTCCCTCACTGTGCACCTTAGTCCGTGCTCGATAGCTCGCCTAAGTGAGTCCCGCCCCTGCAATGTGGACGTCTCTGTCAATCGCCGCACGCACCCACGAAGAGCTGGCTGTTGAGACGCAGGCGCGTGTGTCCGTCGGGGGGCGAGCGGCGTACCCGCCGGGGCAGGTCGTCCACCTGCAGCGAGGCGCGTTTTACGTTGCGCTCGGCGCAAACCCGGTGCCACTGGTCGTCGTTGAGCGGCCACGGGGACACGGCGATCAGCTCCACGGGGCCATCGCCCACGTCGAAGCGCATGCTCACCTCGAGTGGGCCTGAGAGAGAAACAGAGGGAGATGGAGACGACGCACACGTTAATACCACACGCACACTCGTACGCCCCCGCATGGGAGCAGTGACTGCCTAGAACGTTATATTTGCCAAGCGGCAGAAATTGGAAGCTTATGCAATTTACCTCACTCAGTTCCTGTTAAAGTCAAGACAATTACGAAAGTCACCCAGCTCACGCAAGCCATTCGAAGAGCACTTTAAATATCTAGAATGTGCCAGTCATTTTATCTACCCTTTAAGGGTGATATGTGGAGCCGAGACCAAACCAAGATTTGACCTCACTAAACAAGGCAACGCCTTTCCAAATCTCAATCCGAGGCTGATTGAACTTTTTAAAAGGCAAACAAATCTGCATATTGTTTACGTTTTTTAATTATTGCACTTCTACAATTGAAAGCATGAGTATAGTTTCGTGTGAAAGGATAAATATAACACAGACACCCAGTTGTGTTGTAATTGGCTTGGTGTGTGGCACAGACAGAGGATGGGGGCCAGCATTCCACTCTCTTTCCTTCCCCCAGGGCTCACAACACCAAGTAGTCTTTTCAGGCCATGCCAACCTTTACAGCTGGTTTCACATATTGCACTGGGATCACTTGGGTTTCGCATGCTGTGTGCTATCACCTCTGAGAGCGCAGCTCGAATGCCCAGGGTAGATGAGGCGAAACTAAATGCATATTATCACCACAGTGTATGAAAACATTGGGCTTGGCACTTGATTTTTTCCATCTCAGCATTTGGTTGAAAAAAAGAACTACTGGCGATAGTTATGTTTGTGCCATATTCGATCGAGGTCGGGCTGGAGAGTGAAAAGAAAAAAACATCGGGTGAGCTCTGTTGGTGAAAAATGATTTCAAACACAAAACAGGTTACTGAAGCAATGACACTGCTTTTACTCGACCAAGATAAGGCAGAAAATTATGGCGGAAATGTCAGCAGTTGCTTAAAGCTAACTAAAACCAGTGAATGTTAGTCGCAGTCAATGGCCCTCACGACTTGAAAATAACCACGAACATATTTGCTCCCTCACACGAAGAAACTATTTGACACATCATTGTACACACGCACTAACAAAAGCGCAGCCACATACATACTCTCAGCAGCCACGTGAGACGGACCTAATTAGATATGCAAATATATACTATAAAAACACATTCCTGCGGAGGGAGCTGGTAGGAACGTTGCGTTGCTCGGTCAATGGCCAGGGTCAACGGCGGCGTGGTGTATTCCGCAAATATGCCCGACTGTGAGGGCGGGCACAAGCCGGTGTGAGTAGGTTAAACGTTGAGTTTTATAAGGGCACCACGGGGTGACCAGTCCCTCCCCACCCAGCCCCACCCCTCCCTTCCCTCCCACCCCCCACCCTCCCCACCCAGCCCCTCCCTCCCCACCCAGCCCCTCACCACCCTCCCCTCTACACCCAGCCCCACCCCTCCCATTTTTGGATGCACGACGGACGGACACAATAATCACCTGTCGGCTGGTGGAACCAGTGGGTTCCTACCAGTAAAAGGTCATACTGTATTTAAACATTTGCGGGTACAAATGTTTTTGAACTTAATATCGATCAACTCACATTTATGTTTTATTAATGATGTCCTTACACAGTGCACTTATGCGTAATGGGTTCCGGAGACACTTGTAGAGGTAACTTCTTTAATACGATACAACACTTCAACAGGCCTGATTCTCTGTTACAGCCTAGGAACACAGCCTACTCCTAGCGTGCCTCACTCTGGCTACGCTCTGGGGTCCTCCGGCTAAAATTACCCTAGGGGAGGCTACCTGACCCGACCCAGCCAAGGTGCGGGTCGAGACTCTGGCTTCCTCGGAACTCGCCCTTACAAGGGCGTAGAGCCAGGAGTCCCAGAGTCCCACCACTGGCCCACACAGCGTCCCGGCCCTTACAAGGACAAGCGGGACGAGGGGGTCCAGGGTCCTAGCTGGCTGGTCTTGGGTCTTGAGCTGCGACTGGCCCCGATCGGCCAGGGAGCGGCCCTTTTATCCCTCTTGCCCATTAAGGGGTGGGGTTGTGTGTGCTCCCAGATACCCCACAGAGCATACACAGCCCCCCCCCCCCCCCCGTTGGTGGCGCCAAGGGGCTTAGCTGTCTGGGTTGCCTGGGATCCTAGAGCCCGGCGCCGAGGGCTTAGCTGCCTAGGATCCTAGAGCCCCCAGCAGCCCCTCCCCTCTTGGGCTCGCACAGTGGCCCCTCCCCTGGGGGTCCGAGGTACCTGCAGATGGGCCCTGTCCACCACTGCCGGTAAGTGTGGCCCACCTATGGCACTACATATGTATCACACACGCAGCATATGCAGAATAATATATACAATGGTCCCACTTTCATATTTTCTACAGTGTAGGGAAGAGTACAAAGGCATGTAATAACCCACATCACAAACATAATTTTCTATCTGTGCCAATTGAAGGTAAAAGTTGTTGTATTTAATGAAAATAGTTTTGAACATAAAGTGCACCACTGATTCTCATACAAAGGTGAATGACACGTTGTTTGCACCTGCAGTGTTCAAAACCAAACTGCATCTGCAAGAGCCTGTGTACAATGTATATTTTGACTCCCCCATCCCGACCACTCCTCCCATCAAGCCCATGATGAGGTAGGTGGTACTGGGAAGCAAGGCAGCTGCCGTCAACGGTGAGAAAACTGGACTTGCAACCCAGAGGTCGTCGGTTCAATGTCATCTTGCGGAGTGACAGTTGAAACTATAGGGTACATTTCTTAAATCACCTTTCACATTTTTTACTCGGTAGCACGATGCACAGTCCTGAGAAAAAGAATCCGTGGCTAATGAGGTTGCAGCGCTGCTGTGATGTAAAAGCACGAATGTTATTGTTTACTGGAATACTGCCTCTGAATTCAGTGCACAGGGGATCTGCAGGCAAAGGTAATGCATGGACTCCAGAAATACATTAATTTGCTTAGTTATTCAATTTGAATGCTTTGGGGAGTTTTTCTCGCCCACATTGCCTGAGCACAGAGCACACTGCATCGGTAATTAAATATATGTAAAACCAAAACTGCCCTGGAAAAAAACAAACTTGTGTTACATTTAATGGCTTCTTACACTCTCCCAGCTCGATAATTAACCACCATTCCCCCTCCCGACCCTGCTCACTTTGCCTCAGGACCCCCACCACATCTTCTAAAGGCACGTTTTTTTAATTGTTTAACATTCATATTGCCCCTCTGTAAACGTTTTACTGTCATCACATCCATTGTTAAGGATTCATTTGTGGGGTTTTGATTGTAATTGTATTTAGAAAATTGTTGCTCTTCGTTTGTTGCATCTCTCGGTAATTGTTGCCGATTTGTAACCCAGGGGTCTGAGGACAGAAAATTATCATAAACTGCAGCAGGCAGCGAATATAGCAAGATCTGAAATGGCACAAGAGAAAATGCCCAACAATTCTAAGGAATAATGGGTGTTCTGGTGAGATCGTAACGCAGTGGATGTGGCAGCACTTGCTATGGATTATGCCATCACTCCCACTGCACCTGCCAATCAGCTGCAGGAACACAACCTGATGCTACATGGCCATCATAAAGTCACTCGTACAACATGACCAGCATGGTGTCATTGGTCCGTGAGGTTCAGGCAGCCTATGGCTGATTTAATTATATTTATGACTAATGTTTAATATATTCACTATTAATGTGACGAATATTGTTTAATGAATTATTGGTTGCATTTTTTTTACCTTCACAATCAACATGTGAGTGGACATGACCAATAATAAGTTATATCCTACATTTATGAGGATGTATTGTCTTAATTATCTTTTAGAGCTTGGCTCATGTCATTTTTAGAAATGTGAAAGGTGTTCTGTACTGAGGCCCCAGGTTTCTTTCGAGCCTTGTAGTTTAGTCTGTGAATCATATTTCCAATGTGTGAGTTCTTGCCCCACTTAACATCATTTGGTATTTCCTTTATCCTAGTCGCCCTGGCTCTGTATTTGCCTCTAGTGGTACGATACGTACTGCTGAATAAAAAGAAAGGGTAAATGCGATAAAAACAGTACTTGGTAACAGGAACGGAGTCAAGTTAAAAAAACATTTAATGAATGACTAGATACATTTATTTACTTATTTACAACAAAGTACATTCTTAGCTTTGCAAAAAAATAGTTTTCAGGAAAATAATACAGGAGACAGAACATAAAAAGAGTAATACAGAAATGTGTAAAACACCCCCACAATAATCTATTATACCAAAAAGTTCCAAAGCAGAGATTCAATAGAAAACTATATGAATGGAATAATATGATCGGCAACTATAGCATAAGTAAGTCACAAGAGCCAACCTAAATAGTTAAATGGGAAACAAGAGTTGAATTTGTTGAGCTACATGGATAAATAATCAATGACAGCTCATAACAACCAATAAAATAATTACGTCACGAATGGCTATGTAAAGATACCTTAATATAACCACCGAAACCCATAGAGGATAACTTATGTTCTCCCACGACACAGAGGCTCACACTGCATTTCCGCGCGCATTCCATATTCGGCATGAGGTTCGCTGGAATGGCCCCCTCCTCCCCCATTCCCTACATCCATGGCTGGAGGGAAGTAATCACAATTTATTTTAACAAGGTGCAATGCATTCTCTGGTTAGCATGCGCTATGCCAAACTAAAAACTTGTTAGATTTGTAATTTTCATTCTACATTTTTTTAATTTAAATCACGGGGTCTAAAGCTGACCTACACAAGGCGCACCATCAGCATCGTACGATTCTTCCACTTTGACCCCGCGTCTTTTTTTCCGTGGGCAAAAACGAGCCACGTGGCCGAAATAAAGTGAGCTTGGTTACAGCTGCCCAAGCTGGGTCAGACTGCCATGGAAAACTGGCCTGAGCCCACTCTCCCAATTCACAAACAAGGCCAGGCCAGTTTCCAGCGTTCGTTGAATTGCATCATCAGCTGATTTGAGCGATGGATGCCGGTGTGGAGCACGTGCAGCAGAGTGGACATGGAGAGGCCGGAGCGAGTAGCTAAGTTTAGTAGAGAAGGGGCAACTCACTCTTCAGCTCCAGGCGCAGAAAGTGCTGCAGCCCCAGGTTCTCGAGGAAGGTTCCAAACGGCGCCACCGTTTTGAAGTAAAAAGAGATGTCAGCACTTTTCTCGCCACGGAACGTCGGGAACAGCAGGTACGCCGTGCGGTTGGAGAACGACGCCGCGTTCCAAAAATGCTCTGCAGAGCACACGTTAACGTTAACGTGCGCACAGAGGAAATCGCCACGATGAGGTAGGTAGGCATGTTTGGATGCCTTAAATTTATCCACAGTCGTGAAACCTCTAACCTTAACTAAATTCAGAGAAGACTTCCCCTGTAAATAAATATGTTAGTGGGTGCATCACGTTTATGGTTACAGGACAACGTGGATTAGCTGAGATAGGTTTGAGAGCCAGGAGGCCCCAATAAAATAAAACTCATAAATCTCGCAAAGTGAAGTAGAGCAGAATAAACAGCGCAATGGGGTTGCAAAATCAAATAACAATTTAGTCTGACAAAATTTATTGACAATGGACTCTGACCAGAGCATCCCATAACGGCACCTTCCATAGCTTTCACACGAATATGGCAATGGTCCTGGTTCATAGACATGGCTGACAATACTCACCTGATGTTGAAGAGTGATGAGTGATTGATAACCATTATGATCTTGAGGAATATTGATGATGGGTGATAATAGTGATGGTCAGGATGGGAATTGATGATTGTGATGGCGATATAGGTGGTGTTGATGATGTCGATGATAAATGTGATTATGATAATGATGGTGGTGGCAATAATGATAAAGACTATATCAATAGATTCAAAGGTGTTTAATTCTTCACCTGAGGACGGCTGCTTGCGTTGTGGCCGAAACGTCGTGAGAATTAGTTTATTATTTGTATTATTGTATTACTTCCCTTCTACGTGACTTTACCGAAAGAACCAAGAAGATGAAGACAATGTATTATTACTATTTCGGTAAAAAACTGCATGAACACATCAATGCTGCATGCATTCCCTTTCCCATTCGAGGCTTACTTGTGTGTGGTCCCTACATTGATTGACCGCACACACGGGGTGAGTGTCTGAGTGGGGACGTTGTCACGAGGTGGAGGTGAGACACTTGGTGCAGGAGCAGCATTGGGCCATTAGCAGTCAGAAGAGACGTACATTGAGACACAAGCGCTACACCCCATTAGCCTCCGCATTATTTCAAAATGTAGACCTGCTTAATGTAACTCAGTGGCTGGAGTGGCTGGTCTCAGCAGGCCCCACTTACCCGAAGGACATTAATTGTGATGGATGTTTTTAATTTGCATCATTGTGAAGGCTCTTATAAACACAACGTGATGAAGGAGAACATATACGAAGCCCTGAATGCCAAGTGCAGCTATCTCACTCGAAAGAACCGATAATTTAAGTAGAAATGTCAACGATTTACTATGCTGCATTACATCTTACAAAATTCCAGCTTTGGGCTACCACATCACCCTAAATTTAATAAATACTTGCCGCACACACACACATGTTTACGGCAAGGAACTAAACATATAAATATGAATCAAAAGAACATTGGAAACAACTGTTAATCTTTTTTTCTCTGCCGAGAGGTTTATGCACCGAGTAAAATTAAGCTTATGGCGGGACCCCAGGATTCCATAAGCTCTCGCATAAACTGCGTTGCGACGTCATTTAATGTCTGTTGAAGGCGAACGACACGACGATCAATTCCTCTCGAGGAGCTCTACACGATGCGCTAATCAAAGTTTTGTTTATGACTACGGCGACTTTGGCAACGACGGGTGCTTGGTGAAGAACGAGAGGATGGATTTCATGTGGGTCGCGGCGTTTATGTGCGAGACGGAGTGGCCACAAATTTAATTCATGAATTACGATTTTCTCTCCGCCTGATGAAGACCGACCTAAAACTTTGGTGGCTGCAGGAATTCGTATTCTTGGTTCTTTCGGTAAAGTCACGTTGATCTACAAGACCGCTTGTGTTGCGATCGAAACGTCGTGGGTTTTTTTTGCTTTTATTATAATTTATTTTTAATTCAATTACATTTTCTACCCACGCGACTTTACCAAAAAAGAACCAATAAATAAGATTTTCACTTCCGTTTATTCGGAATGTTCATTAACGACGAGCAGCATGCAACCCGCGGCGTCACGTGGTGGGAAAGGCACAAGGAGGGGGGGGGGGGGCGCTTACTGTCGCCGTGGCAACGCAGCGGCCCCACGAGGTAGCTGGCGGCCGAGCGCGAGCGGTTCGCGTCGCCAATGACGAGCTGCGTCACCGGCAGGTGCTCTTTGTTCGTCAGCCAACCGGAATCGTGCATCCTTATAAGGCGTGGCAGAGGAGAGGAGGGGGGGACAGAGCGGGGAAGGGGGCGGGGGACACTGTGATGAACCGGCATCCACATTGCACGCTGTTTTAGGGGCCATCTATTTGAGTTCAGGTCAGAGGTCGCAAACGGGTTTTGATTCCTTACCCGTACCCGGCCGCACCAGGGCCGCAAACGGGTACCCGTACCCGGCCGTACCCTACACCCGTACCCGGCCGGGTACGGGTATCGGGTACCTGATTGCGACCTCTGGGATGAAGCCATGCTGCAGGCGCGGGTGGGTTGATTCTAGGAACTTGAATTGTGAGAAGAGACAAGACGTTGGGAAATGAGTGACAAACGGCTACTCACCAGTGACTCACGGTCTACCCGTACCCGGCCGCACCAGGGTCGCAAACCCGGCCGGGTATCGGGTAGGGTACGGGTATCGGCTACCCGGTTGCGACCTCTAGTTCAGGTACGCCAAAAAAATCTGTCAAAACTTTACCCCTCCACCCCTCCCTGTACGCACGCGTACTTTTTACACACTCCCCCCCCCCCCCAGAATCCTATAGAACGGCCGATATTTAATCCACGCAGAAACTATCCAGGATTAATAATATTAACGTGATTTAAAGCTTGAGTGACTGCAGAGATTCATATTCTTGGTTCTTTCGGTAAAGTCACGTAGAAGGAAAATAAAAAATAAATATGTAAAACGATAATATTCTCACGACGTTTCGACTGCAACAAGCAATTATCATCAGGTGTGAAATGATGATGATTGCTTGTGTTGCAGTCGAAATATCGTGAGAATTTTATTGTTTTATATATTTTTTTTATTTTCCCTCTACGTGACTTTACCGAAGGAACCAAGAATATAAGATTAACGTGTTTAATCAAACAGATAGTCCACCGCCGGACTATCAAACTCACTTGAAAGCCAATGTAGACGAATTATGCCTACGTACATTGTCAGTAGACCCCCCCATACGCAAGCATTTGGGTTAACCACCCCTACCCCCTCCATGCGTACGCACTAAATGGATGGCCCCTTACTGTTCGTCTTGTTCATTCCTACGGTGCTCCTGTATATAACGCTGCTGCTGCTGCCACGTATTTTATACACTGCAGTGTTTGCCATATTGCATTACTCCATTACATCCACGTCAGAGGCATAATAATTATTGTTTGCACATCTTGGACTGTATGCTACATAATGTAACTCATCAATCTTGATTTGAAACTTTCGTTACTGCAGGAATCCATACTCTTTGGTTCTTTCGGTAAAGTCACGTAGGTAGAAAATTAAATAAATCACTACGTTTCGGGCGCAACAAAACCTTTTATTTTAAACCTTTTAAAACAGTCTGCCTCAGCAGCAGACCATGCTTTCCTACCTGATGACGGACGCTTGTGTTGCGCCCGAAACGTCGTGATTTATTTTATCTTAAACGTGACTTTACCGAATGTAACTTATGTTTAAACTATTTTCCAGACTTACGTGCCCACGTGTTTGTGGGGGGGGGGGGGGTGTGCACAAAGGTCTAATCAATTGCTCGAGTTATTACAGAGCAGTGTGAACTGCATAGTTGAAGTTGTTGGCAATATATTACTTGTACACTCGAGATAAGGGGCATAACCACCCGTGACTCTGAAATCTTGATGCGATTTGTGTCGCCAACGCCGCGGCTGATATGCGGAAGGTTTCGAGATGAGACGTGTATGGATAGAATCTTCACACCACTGTGTGTGCAAAGTTTTATCAACATTCATGGATGCTGATTATATGGATAACACGTATACTATCGCACGAGTGTTTAGTGTTTCATAAGAATAAACATTTTTTTATTCGTTTATTATTATCATGGGAGATATATTAGTTGATTGTGTTGATCTGTCTTTCGCTGCTCAGCCACAGGTTACGAATTTCATGCTATTTTTAATTTAGTTTTGAATGGGAAAAGTAAGAAAAAACACAGGCACCCCCAGCACTTTAATAAACACAATCACGTCTTATGATAAAAGCAGAGTGCTACGAAAGAAATGAAGAAAGTTCATTTGAATCCATGATACAAACTCGCAAGCCGCTCCACACACAGCGCACGCAGACACCAACTTACAGCGTCATTAACCTCACGCGTAGCCTCAAAATACGATATTCTGCAGTATTAAAAGTCTGAACTGCACGTTAAAATAGGCACTTAAGAACATTTCCTCAATGTGCGAAAGAGAAAATTAGAAATACATTGCTCCTCTCGTTTGTGTGTTATGACCAGCAATTGCCAGCCTCTAAAAAAAAAAACCCCCACCACTTCTGGCGCTGAAGATAAAAAGGTGGCTGCGTTATCATGCTCACCACGGAGGGGGCTCGTAAAAATAAATTGAAAGCAAGCGCACCCACCAACACAGCCAGACAACACCACCACCGTTCCATCGCCACTCTCAAACCAAGCCAGGGCTGTGGAGGTGACACGCACCACTCGTCACGGTCGGCGTCGCAGTTGCAGTGGACGTGCTCCTCCGTGCAGTTTCGCTCCACGCCGCACGCACACTTCTGCACGCCCGGGCTGGAGCCGCCCCAGTAGTGCTGCCGCTCGTTGGTCCTGCTGACCCACCAGGTGAAGGGAGGCCCATCTGCACGCAGGGTGGGCAGGACCAGGGCCGAATTCAGATGTTGTAGGCCCCTGGGCTACAGGTAATGTAAGCCCCCCCCCCCCCCCCCCCCCAGTAATATTTTCTGTCGTCTCGACAGACCTGTTCTTCACCTGAGGACGGCTGCTTGCATTGTGGCTGAAACGTCGTGATAATTATTTTATTATGTTTCCATTCTACGTGACTTTACCGAAAGAACCAAGAATATGAATCCCTGCAGTCACGAAAGCTTTCAATCGAAATTTAAGGAAAACAAAGTTAAAGAAAAATAAAATTTATTTTTACAAGGCTAACAATAAATGGAATTCAGCATTCACAAATTAAATAACTTTTCACTTAATCTCTGGAGGTCCTCCAGCTGGCAGAGGCCCCTGGGCTTGCAGCCCCTAAAGGCCCCGTGCCTTAATCCGGCCCTGGGCAGGACAAGCGGTGTCAACGTGGGTTTGTGTTCTTGTTTCAATAAAGTGTATTCCCCCACTTACCGTTCGAGAACGTCAGGGACATTGCTGTTAGCGAGCAACGGTCTGGAGAACACACGGTGGGGTAGTAAGGCCAGCATCATGTCGAGCTTGCCTTTGGTCTTACCCTTTAATTATATTGACCACATTTCTGTATCGAGTTCTCATTTTTGGCTGAGTTAATCTAGGGGAGGCCCACGCTAGGTTCAGATACCATTTGCCACGGGTGTTGTGCTTGGCTACGAATCAAACTTGGATTCAATAATTACAATGACGCTGCTTTCAATGTGACTGAAGGGAAATCAGTCGTGGGCAAACTGTTTGGACAGACAGCATACGCATCACCCCTTAAATGGAAAGCACTACAGTATCAAATCGATGGGGGGAGAGGGGGGCTGAAATGAAGTCCTAGAAATTATCAAATTGTTGCTCCCTTCCTCCCTCCTCACTCCTTTTCAAACTTGCCTTTCCGTAAAATAAAATATACATTTTAAAAAACGGTCTCTTTACTTTAAATGTATTTCATTTATTTGTGTTTACTGCTTAACTCGTTTATGCAATTCGCTGTGCACAGTTGCTCGTTTTTCTATTTGCTTTGCACAGTCGGTGTTGGCCACCGAGGGCGTGACGGGTTTCTCTTTTTTCATTGCTGTTGCACCATGCCCCCTGGACCATCCCCATTCCATTGTAATGTGCACTGATGCCTACTTTAGTGAGGGCGATATTGGCACGTAAAATCAAGATTGATCGATTGACTGATTTTCCACGAACAGCAAGAACACCACTGCTCCAGTGAAACACACTAAGGTGCAATTTAGCACGGAGGTTGTCACACTGACTCGTGATACCAGCTGAAACTCCTGAAGATGCCTGCACAAGTGCATGGGAGAGAAAGATGTATTCAGTGCATGGCTAAACCTGCAAAGACCACACTGGGACAACCTGGTGGTGCGGGCCCATTGGGGGCCCAAAGCAGAAATCTCTTTTTTGAGTTCCTCTTGCAAATTACAAACTCTGAGTGAGATGATAGAAGTGCTATAAACAATAGATAAGAGTTCGAGCTCGATCAGAGAAATGTGGACAAAAGATAGATTCAGAGAAGCGAGCTGCAGACAAAACAGGGATGGGGTAAATCATCTGCAGTTTTATTTAAAATCAATTCGCCCCGACCGTCCGGCAAGTCCCATCCTGGCGCGGCGACGCTCACCGGGCGAGTTGAGGAGACGCGATCTTCGGCAGTAGTAGGCGACCTCCTGCCGGCACTGCTCAGCCTGCTCCACCAGCGCGGACAGTTGCTCCGAGCTGGCGTTGTAGACGAATCGAGCAACGAAGGCGGCGAGCGCAGTGCTCGTCTCGGGCACTCGGCGCTCGTCGGTGCCGTCATGCGCCAGCACGGTCCACACGCGCTCCTCTGTCGGGGTCGGGAAGCACCACGGGCACACGCGCACAGCACAGATAGCAAAGAAAGCCCCCCCCCCCACGCCGCCCCCCAGTGGAACCTTTCTCGCTGGTGAGGCAAGTGCTGTCGCTGAGCATCTATCAAGGCTCACGATTCGGTGGGGTTCGGTCGGCGCTACGCCTGGCCGCCTTTGTCTCCCCAGTGCTGATGTTGACTTGCCGTACCAGCTACTCGTTTCAGAATCGAGAATGTGTATTTCTACTGGAGGAATCCGATGAAGTGCGTGGCTCTTTTTTTCTCACAGATCTCCAGCAGGGGCGGGTCAGAACATTGCAATAACAAACAATACAAAAAAGACGATGGGAGTGCAAAAGGTTGAGGCGACCTAGGGAAGGTCTCAAGACTGGATCAGATATTCCCAACTTATTTGAGCTGTGAGCGGGAATCAATGTGAGGTTGCCGGGTCCGTAGCGTGCACTATCCCAGAGCTACATACACGGCAGAGTCACGCTGGGGTTTCTACTCTCCCCTCCCTGCGCCAAGGCCAAATAAAGGATGGCTCAAGTCATGCGGTCTCCTCAAAGACATGGCACATCCATGCAGTCTGGCAATTGGCAGCAAAACGAGCAGCTTGTAACAAAACTATAATTACTGTACCGTATAAGCGCTTACCGCCCATGAAACAGACATAGGAATAACGCAGCATAAATATGTATACAAAATAGACGGTTGTATTTTAGGAATATTGGAACATAAAAGAGAGTAATAAAGCTATATTCTGGCCAGGTAGCACTGCGGTTAGAAAGCTCAGCCCATAATTTTTCTATGAGGCAGCTGCATTCCATTAAAGGAATGTGGAATTTTAACCACATTAAATTGTACATTCATATGGCACGACATTTTTGGTTAAACATGGGGGACACGATGACTAATGCAATGAAAACTGGTATCACTACAAAGGGTCTCAGACTGAAAACTGAGCTGCACTGTAGAAATGTAATTTCGCACAAGGTGTGTTAAGCATTCGTAAATGTTGCATCAATGGCAACATAGAAGCTGATAATGTGTACAATGTGTGATCAGGCTTGTCTGCCAACAGGATGTGGTTATTTATCACACTCAATTCATCCGGGATCGCTTGTCTCCTCTTTTCTCAATCTCCGAGAATAAATGTCCACGTATTGTCTCGTAATTTATGGTGATTTTGTGCTAAAAGCTTTTCTATTATCGCTGCCAGTGTCCTGCGGCTAAGTGAATCCAGGCACCCATTTTAATTAATCTCAACGTTTCAGTTGAATGGATCCACCCAAACGCAAAGATTTTCAATAAATATAAAAAAAACAGACGGGCTCACCTCGACATGACCCCAAGAGTTTATTTAAAAATACGGTATAATTTCCACGGATAGAATCCCCATAGTCTAACTTTTTTTAGTTGATTTAAACATATTCTTTAAATGTGCACAATAGCAAGCCACTTGCTCTTTGGCATCAATCTGAATGGCAATCAGCAAGAGAGTTGCATTTCACGTATCTGTTTTTTTTTTTTGCCCACGTTAAAGTTGTGCGCCTCAGTGGCTGGATGCTGCAGTGCAAAGCAGATTAAACCCAAGCATCCATTTTCTCCATGCACCTTCATAAATATGCATCAAGTCCAGACTCATCCTTCCAAAAGCCCCACACTCAATACCACACCACCCCGTGGAGTTGTTGTCTTTCAATCCAGCATGAAGCAGCTAAGTGTGTAAGGCGCACCAAGGTTCAACTCAACCAAAGGCTGCAGCCCAGGGCATTTTAGTCAGAGAATTTCGCTCCTTTTGTTGATTCGTTTCATTGAGGGTGTGGGCCACAGAGGCTAGATGCAGCTAACATTGCAATTGGCCCTGTGGCACGGAAATCTGACCCCTTAAAGCATACCCGAGCACTCCGCTGTGGCTTTGCCCTTCAGCAATAATCACTAAAAATGTAAAGGTGAAGCCTCGCAATTGCTTACTCACGCCACCTGCTGGTGGAAGGGCCTCCCTCCAGAGGGAGCTCTAGAGTGCCCCTCTGTTTTTGCCTGGCCAGCCATCTTGGAAGAAGTGAAAGTACCCACACGTGGCCTACTGATCAACTAACTGTTTGGGGCGCCACGGTGGCAAGAAGTTAAACCTGGTATACAGGAGGTCTGGGAGTTGATCCCAACCCTTACGCCTGTATATTTGGAGTTTGCATATTCTCACAGTAGGTCGCTTGGATTTTTCTCCAGGTCCTTCAGTTTCTCCCTCCATATTTAGAAACATGCGTTTAGAGTATTTGGCTGCTATAAATTTCCACATGATAAGCCACTTTGTTGAGCTATCATTTATGGCCAGGTCGCTCCTGAAAGAGCTATAAAGCTCAGTGGGCCTTACCTGGTAACATCGTTTCTTTTGTTTAACTGTGGTCAACCCATGTATACTGCATAAGGATTTGAGAAACGTGCCCATTGTTTTCAATTGCCGCGCCACGGGATCAAACAGTGCCAGTTACCACTGGAATGCAAGTCCAGTGAGCTAACCACGATACCACAGCCGAATGTGTATTTATTTTAGTCAAACAGGAGTGCACGCAAACGCAGCTGATTGCTAGTGGGCATATTTCACGGAGGAATGTTTACACTGACAAGGAGATAATGATGTGCCCCACTCACGAAACTTTAGTATGTGTTTGAACATCAGACCTCACACGAGGCGGTGATTTACTTCAAACATTCCTACTTAAATATTTTTGCAATTTATATATGTTTGTCACTTTGCCTACTGTGTACCACACCGCAGTAGGAAAAGTGACAAGTGTGGTTTGTCATGCTGATCACAGTGAGGATCGTGCATCATTGGTGCTGGGCAATTAAAACTAAATAACTCTATGGAAAGCACAGCTCACAGCTTAGGGCACAATTTCAAGTAAAACTTATGGGACACTGCATTGATATTGGTGTAAAGACACGTGACTATCATTATTTACCACTACCATCCATTGCATGTGAGATACCTACATCAAATTGTGAGTGAAATGCTCCTTTAATAGTCTACAAAAGCGAGGGATAATGGTATTTTTTTCAATTGTCTTTTCCAGAATCTGATTCACGGTATGTATGTGGGTAATATTTTATATTTTTTAAACCCTAAAAATATTCTTGATAACATTAGAATATATTTTCGAAAATTTTGGGGTTGGAGAAATAAAATAATAGACGGTGAAAATATTAACGAGCTCAGATTTGCTGATGACATTGTCACTATATAAAATATTCTGCAGTAACTGAATAAGACAAGGCGGAAAAGCTGGGCTCAAGATAATTTATGAGTAAACACAAAATAAATGTACAACAAGTTCACCAAACCAATGAAGATATTTGTTGGAGGGACAAGTTTGGAAAATTTATGACAGTATGTGAGCCTATGAACATTATTGATGATGGACTGGGATCAATCTGATGAAATAGAGTAAAGTGTGAGAAGGTTGGAGCACTTTTGTAAAACTGCACTTGGGAATGAAAAACAACAAACCAGTGTGCTTAAATAATATAGTTTTCTATCAGTACATATTACGTGAAAATAATTTAATCTGAAAAATGAACAGTGACAAAGAAAATAAAATAGAAACTGAAAAGTGCACAAAGCATGCATGGAACGACACTGAGACAGAAAGAGAAGCACATTAGATTAGAGCACAAATGTAAAGGAGAGATTTCACACAAACTCTTAAGGAAAGCAAGCGAATGTGTCCTTCCACCGCACCTCCGATTAGCACGGTTGGCTACGTACAGTGTGAAAGAAGTTCAACATACATAGTACAATATACAGGACACTTCACTACAAGGGACGATGGCCAATTGTCGAATCTGACAATGAAGTAGCAAGTGAAGGATGTGCACGCCCGAAGGTATGACCGCCGTGGAGACAGAGGCATTGCATCTCGACGGGTGCAGGAGCTGGATAGCGCATTGCATGACAACACCGTGAGGGATGGCAACGACTCGGGGAGGTCTTTATCCAGAAATGGATAGAACATATCTGATGATGATGCTCATGAACACTGCCTTGTATCTTAATATATCAACACTATATAAAAGGGTCCTGATTTAGAGTGAGAGATGGGCGCAAAGAGCCATTACGTCAGAGATAAGCTAACATTTCATATCCTGGAAAGCCTGTGGCGTGTAAAAACATTGATATTTCATTAATAATTGGCATCAAAAAAATGTTTACTTATGTATAGTTATTTTAATATTTTTACAAACACAAATGCTTAAACCTAGTATAGTTATTAACCAGAACCGTTTGTTTCCAAACATCTGCTGATGGAAAAACATTTATAAAGCAACATATTTTTTCCCTCTACAAATATCAATCTTCTGTTGGTGCGACATTGGAAAATGATGCCATTATTCCAAGTGACCGTCTTCTGATTCCCTGGCCCTCTGCTCTGAGAAGGCAGGGCCACAGCCCAGCATGTGACTGCGGCTCATCGTGAATCTCTCTCTGCAAGGCAGCGCTTATTAACGACGACGACGACAATGGTGGCGGCAGGGCCTCGCACCTGTGACGTTGCAGTAAACGAGCAGAGGGTCCAGGGGACCGCTGCCATCCAGGTCGATGTGGTAGAAGCCGGACGTGCCACCCAGGTGCTTGTATGCTTCGCAGGACCGCTCGAACACGGCTAGAGGGGACCGCACAGGAAGTGGCCAGTAGAGAAGTTCAAGCCACATCAGGCACCTGGCTGCTCTTTTGTTGTTGTTGTTTACACCATTGGAACCTCATTTGCCAGTAAAAAATATGATAATTGTTTTTTTTTGCGCCTTTTGGCGTCATCTGGTCCAACCCATGTGCGACTAGGCTCTAAGGAAAGCTGTCTCGGGTGTGGACCAATCAACTTCAAGGACAGTGCACATTATCAGAGTTGTGTTTTTTGTTTACATTATGACTGCAGGTATTGTGGTCTATGCAAACATGACTCCTTGTAAAAAAGGTGTCAGTTTTGTTGCCAGATAGAAGGGTAAAAAAACAATTATTGTTGTTGTTGTTGTGTTGTTGTTGTTTATTCTCCCGCCCTCCTATGTCAAACTCACCAACACGTGCACGTGTCAACTCCCCTCGCCCGATGAAACTACGATCACATAATTACTCAGTGGGAAATGGACCGCTCCGTGAAATTCGGTCCTACTCCACATCACGGCATTGTTATATAAGCAACTCCATTTGCCAGTGAGATGTCAATGATGCTCACTGCCACTCATTCAGTCGGTCAAATGAACTGCGTCAACAGTGGTGTATTTGCAAGTCCAAAAACACACTAAGCACCGATGTAATTTACTATGTTCACACAAACGCATTTGTATAATTGTAAGTTTTAACTGCGGCACATTTGGCTGTAAACAAATGCAATACAATATCTTATCTGTGATACTGTGGGCTGAGTATGGCTCATCCAAATTAATACAAATTATATCCACAACAAACACCGGTGACCCTGATGTGCGTTTGCAAAACAAAAAACCTACAGTCAATGGCTGCAGAATACAATCAAATTGGCAAACATCCACAACACCCTTTTGCCTGCTCTTCAATAGCACTCCTACGTAAGCATCTGTGCTGCAGCCTGCTGGGAATTGTGATGGGGTCATCCCTATTGCACAGGCACAGTGGATTAAATGTATTCACAATAAACGTCGTGATAAATACATACAACAGCACACGGAGTCCCATCCTCGCAGGGTGACATTACACAAAAAGGCTGATAAATTGATGTTCAAAATTGCACGCTAGCATGATGTCGAAAAGATGCCACGAAACAGCATTGTCCGCAAAGTGTTATAAATACACACATTAGCGCAACTTGCTGGTGCCAGCCCTTGGTGTGCCATTGGTGGTTTTACGGAGTAAAAGCGAAAGTGCCGTAGGGGCCCTTCAAGATGCCAAAATCCACCATCTACAACGCCCTCACCTGCCACACCAACTGCCAACGCGACGTTGAGAAGCCTCCGTTAAGATGGAACCTCGGCAGGGTGCAAATGAAATACAAATTGGCGACACACCTCTTAACAAGGTTTTAGTCACAGCAAGCTATTAACTGTGGGTCACAGCAAACTCATGGCTGCGGCGAGCGGTGGCGGGGAAATGCTACACACCTGCAAAATGTTCAATTTCTTCCCGTTTTCATAAATGCCGCTTCAATGCACCTCATTTGACAAATGCACACAAACCTGAATATCCAACAGTCTTTTGTTTTTGGGGGTTTTAATGACTGCCAAACTGGCAAATGACATTTCTGGCACTCTACGGTTAACAACCTTGCACCCGTTTCACAACTCTGACACCTGGATGGAGTGTGAAGGTGTTCACAGACTCACGATTGTGACAGGTGTCTCCCAGATATCCTGTGCCATCGCAATCACAGAAGAATGAGTCCCACTCTTGGCTGCATTTCCCTCCGTGTTCGCAGTGGTTTGGGAGGCACCTGGGTAATATTAAACAAACAGTGAGCCAACAAACCTGTGCAAACACTTCCACTTTCGCTCACCGGATTTCTCCCTTCGTAGCACCCTCACACTGCTCCTCACAGATGACACAATAGCCCAAATAAAAAGTGTACCATGAAGCACAGGCGTTAATTGTCTCATTAATTTTCGAATTATTTAAGGTTGTAGCTTAAAATAAATAAACCGACTTGCAGTAAATGACAGTGATTTCGGGGACATTTATAAGCAATATTTTATTTTAGGCGAGGGATTTCTGAGAATTTGTAATTTATGTGACCGAACATGTTTAAAAAGCAAGTAGAAAATGCTACTCGACATTGACAAAAATAAAAGTAACATGGGCTACTGTAATTTGAATATACATTTTAAAAATCTGTATTTAAATAAGTGACTGACTATGCATGTCAGTATGCATCGGATCATCAAGGTAAAGTATTATGCTCACGGTAAACACACCTTCAATAATTGCCCGAGGTGTACATGATCTATCGTGTTCTCAGCCATGTTCCTCCAAACATTGTTTCCGTTTCATAAGTGAACCTTTTATACTGCACAATACACTACTTTGTTTTCCTCATTTATCATTAGCCAAACTTTGCAGCCTCCTTTGTTAAGTTCTTCATTCATTTCCTGTGCTTCATTTCCATTTATCACGCTGATATGCAAATTAGCATTTGTTGCTATGCTATTCAATGTGCATAAGTCATTTTAGACCTGTCCGAATGACTCATTTTAGACCTGTCAGCCGTGTCGCAGGCAACGCCCTGCAGCTCCCACGGTGCAATTTGCAACATCAAGTAGCATTTGGAAGTCATCGTGTTTTTTTTAAATCTCCTGCTGTAAAACATAATCAAAATCCCACATCAATTCATTAAGCCCAATGTTTGCTTTCAGCAATATTTATTATCGTAGATTATTTCATATAAAAAAATAAACAGCGATTTAGAGTTTCAGCGGTGTGACGTTATTGAATACAAAATAAATATTAAATAACGTCCGTCGTGCTAAAAGCACGACTCTTGTTTTTTTAAGGTAAACATCTAAGTGCTATTTATATACGACCGTGTGACGATGATCTCTTACTGCCGTCTATGAGAGGGACACTGGCCCGCCTTATAGAGAGAACTTTATCTGCAGAATTGTCCAATACCGTGTCTGGTCACATTTGTTATTAATACCTCCACTGGTCACGCTGCCATGCGTGATGGTGGTGGTGGTACAAGCCTAAAACCCCAGAGCTTTGGAGGCGAGATTGGAAAATTGTGCACAGGCCCATTATGTCTACATGACACCTGCCTGCAGGGCAGTGAGGTGCCTGAAGGTAGCACCGACAAGTAGGGTCCTACTTTTACTATTCAAAGTTGTAATAGTTATCCGCTCACATGTATGGGCATTTTTCGGTATTTTTGAGTTATTCAAATAAATAAAATAAAAACATTAAAAGCGATTACCCACACACCTTAACAGGACCCTCCTTAAGAACAAATCGTTAGACTGGGTTTTTGGTTTTCCTGACTAATTAATTACGTTTGATGTATTCTATTTAAAATTAGATCATCATTATCGTCATCATCATCATCATCCAAAGAGTGATGTTTTTTTCTCAACCGAGTATTGGAGTGGTGCTCATCTGTTCACAGTACCACGGGGTGAACGTTTCACATTAATTCCTCGAGTGGGGGAAAATCGACATGTAAAACAACCACTGTTGACTTCGCCACAAAGTGCTACATATTGTATCAACCCCCTCAGGGATTATGGGCCGAGTTAAGTCCGAACAAGATTTGAGCTCATGATCTTCTGATGGCGAGCCGCTGTCTCTAATGCTGAGCTGCTGGGCCAGTTCTGTAACACATTCCTGTGAAACATCCAATGACCAGTATAATCATCGTTCTTTAGCAGTCGTAATGAATTTAAATTACTACTTAAACCTTCAAAGGATGCACACTGAAATCTTTCCAATCACCGTGATTTTGAAATGATAATATTCTACTCGTCGTCCAATTTCAATCAGTTTATGTGTTTAGAATGGTAACAGAGCTCACTGAGCAAAGTTAATAATTTAAAATGCACACATTATTTTCTTTTGGCATTATCTCGACACTGCTCTCCTTTCAGCCCTCTATTTCAAATATGAATGATTTTAAACAAATCCAGCCGTTCACGCGAGTGCTACATATATTACTGGTAATCTGGCCACTAATATTCTCTTGTGAAAAAGGTTACAAAGAAATAAATGACAAAGGAAGAAACGTAATTAAAATAAGGTTTGTAAATAACATTCTTCGTAGTCTCATTAACCTCGCCGACGCACGGCAAAAATATACATGGCATTCTCAAAATGGACTTATTAACAACGAACAGCGTTCCTTCGCAAGTATTTAAATGAGGAATATGCACGTGCACGCGCGCGCGCACGCACACACACACAACAAACACGCGCATGCAAGCGGAGCCTACATAATAAATAAACATCCACACAAGCAGATAAAACATTGCAAGCCCACGAACAGTCAACGTACTAAAATATCACTTTTGCCAACAAAAGGCAATGCTAAGGTTATATATATAAAAAAAAACCCTCCACCGAGGCACTGAGAATGTCACGTCCACACGAGCCTCGGGCACCAGAATAAAGTGTGCGGGCGAGCGGGCGCATGGCTGCCAAGTCCCCTGGTGGCCGCATCTATCGGACGGCCATTACAATTCAACTCTGCAGATTGAATTTTAAACATCAGAGAGCTGATGCAAGCCCATCAGGCAGCATTTATATGACTGTAAATTGTATTTCTCCCTCTTTCATGGCACCGAAAAGAATCTCAATTTAATCAGATTTCATATAATCTGGAAGCGAAAATCCAGATTAATTGTTCAAATGTTTTTGTTATGCTTTATTCCACCCAAGGCTTACGAGCGTAAGCGTTGTATACAATCTTTTTTTTGTTCACCGAAATAACCCAGCATCATGTATATTGTCACATACATCATGTTGGGCAGAGACAGATGGTCTGTGCGGTAAAAAACGATGTGATCTCTGCACACCGCTTGCATGTGCAATCTTTCTGGGGAGGTATGCTGGCCTTGATATCAGTTACGTGTGAAGTGCCCTCTGTTAATGAGGGGCAAGGAAACGTCAGCAGCCAACCGCGTGGCTGCATAAGAGCTTCCAAGTTGAAATGTCAGAAGCAAATGTCATATATTGTTTATCAGCTATTGTGTTTAAGGGAAAGGTTGCATGAAGCGCCACGTAGGTCTGTAAAACTTGCCAGGAAAAAAGAGTGACCCCTTCTATCTACTCACCGCAATCTTGAGAAAAACACACGTTTGAGGTGTGTTCAGTTTTGAGCCGATTCTACTTGCAATATTTTACCAGTTGCTTGTGGCAAATGTGGATTTTATTTATTATTACCACTTAAACAGTTTCAGAATCTTGAGTTAAATTTGCACATCTAATGTGAGCTGAATTATGAAGAAATTGATGAATGATCAAACACTTGCATAATAAATGCACGCAAAAATTGGCAGGCATGGCAATATACGCCTGTGATCCAGACCTTACACATATTTTTCGGATAATTATGTTTAAGTAAAACAGCCAACCTGCAGATATAAAAGCTATGTAGTAGATGGCAGAATATAAATGAACTTAATGGACTTTGGATTATGTTTGTGTTATCACCTTGAGCATGTCTTTTCTCCAGGTACTTCAGTTTCTTTCCAGATATAGAAACACTCAACTGGAAATTGCTAAGACTAACTATTACTAACTTTTTATTTGATCAGGTAAGGCCTACTGAGCAATATAGCTCTTTTTTCAGAAGTGACCTGGCCACAAATGATAGCTCAATTAAGTGGCTTATCACGTGGACATGTATTGCAGCCAAATACTCTAAATACAAGTTTCTAAATGTGGAGGGAAAACCCGGAGGACCCAGAGAAAAGTCTATGCGACCTTGAGGAAAACATGCAACCTCCAAATATACAGGTGTCAGGGTTGGGACCAAACCCACGACCTCCTGTATATCAGGTAAGGTATTTAACTTCTCGCCACCATGGCACCCAAACATCCTAAGTCCGTAGTTCTCTCCTGAAATGTTCATGTCCCTCATCAAATGTCATCGTACATAAAAACACACTCGTGAAAAAACAACAACACGGGACAAATCCGTGTTGCAAAGCGTTACAGAAAGCACGCGAATGCGTGGCACGCTCCAGTCCGCACCTGTCCAGGATGCCGCACGTGTTGAGTTGTGCACCGGTAAAATTTCCCAGCATGCCCTGCTCCACGAGACTCATGTCCAGGTCCTGCTCGGCGATGCGTACGGAGCGCAGGCAGCCGAGGAACGAGCCGTGTGGAGCCCGGCACTGTCCTGGCGCTGCCACTGCCGGACATCCTGACCAGCACCACGCAACACACGCAAGAGACAAAGATCCCTTGTCTTAGCCTACACAGGCCGTTGAGACAAGTGCTTCATCTCCCTCGTCTGATATCCAGGAGGTCGTGGGTCCGATTCCAACACTGATGCCTATATATTTGGAGTTTGCATGTCTCTCTCCCTGTGATCGTGTGCGTTTTTCTCCAGGTCCTCCGGTTTTTCCCTCCACATTTCGAAGCATGCGTGTAGAGTATTTGTCTGCTATACATTTCCACATGATGAGCCACTTCGTTGAGCTGTCATTTGTGGTCAGGTCGCTTCCAAGAAAGTGCTATATACCTCAGTCGACCTTACCTGGTAAACAATCAGTCATGTAAGGCTGGTTTGACCCAGGTCTGTTTCCAATGTCCATCACTGATGCTGGCCATGAGAAGGGATATAACTCAGGTCGCTGGGTTCATAGCGCGATGTGCTAATCACTGCGTCATCACTCCACACGATACTTACACGCATACATGCGCACGTATGAATGCACACATCTACATACATGTATAGTGGGTTCTATGGAGGCACACACTTGAACTTGGAGGCAACACATTTATTACAAGACCCCAACAGGGTAACTATATAAACGTGCACTGGTTAACTAGACCACAACGGGGTAACTACATAACCGGGTCAGTCAGTAACACACTGCCTGACCCACGATGCTGAGCGTAAAGACCGAAGACTGAAGATCGAAGAGACAGACGTAGCACCGACGGGTTCCATTTCAACAGACAGCCGCGATTGCTCTCGGGACTTCCCTTTTATGCTCCCGAGCGTGGCCTCGCTCCACCTTTGGCTTCCCAGAAGGTTCTCGACCGAGCATCACGTGTCCCTCAAGCCCCCCTTTGGGCCCCCTCGCTACCCTGTCCCGGTCACGTGCCCTCTCGGGTCCACCCAGGCTGTCACGTCCTTACTTGCCCTCTCTCTGACTCACTGACGTTCGGTGAGGTCAATGGCTGGGGAGGCACTGGCTCGTGTCAGAGCCAGATTCACACACTGAGGGGGGCGTGGCCTCACGGAGGGAGGCGTGTCTGACACACCCTCCTCGGTGAGGCAGATGTGATAGCAGCCTCCCCTGGTACTTTTTCATTGCAGTTTCATGACGAGAGCAGCGAGCCTAAATATCTTTATACACATACGTGAAATAAGTTACATAGAGTATGGAAGGCGAGGACATGAAATGAAGGGGTCTACAAACATTACATTGGTGACACACAGAGAGATAGTAACAGGCACGCGCTTATTGCACCGCGCTCCATCCAGTTACTGAGGGGTTGCGTAATCAGAGGGGAGGCTGAGCTCGTCGCTGCCTCACCTCTCGTCTCTTCCTGTATTTGCAGCGGAGCTCCGCAAATTTGGCGATTTTGACTATAAAAATGATTTGAATCGTACAGAAATGACATTTATAACACAGAGCAGTGGAAAAATCTGAATATTTCTTTTATTTGATTATTCTTTTTTTTCGTACCAGCTATTTTCATTGGAGTATGACAGGTGAGGCTCTGCCTCCCCTGCCTCCCCTGACCGCACGTCCCTGCTCTGACCGTCACCAGAACCATGCCCCCTAGGGCCCGCTTCCATGCCATACCCACTCTGGTGCCAGAGAGAGGCTCAAGACGCACAGTTCCACTCTGGTGGCAGCAGCTGGCGCAAAGCGCCCCAGAGACTCCATTTACGTCACTACACTTAGAGACAAACAACAGGGACAACCGCCGCTCACCACTAAGTGGCGGTGACGTCGTCGCGGTGCGTGTGCCATGCTAGGTACGCATACACAAAAAGACAACGATCCCCAGTATAACCTCACACACAAACACACACAAATGTAGGTAAACTTCATTTGGAAAAACAACACGTTTGTTATAAACTTGGACATCTGCTGCAGAGCTCCAGAAGGTGATGATTTGCTGAGAGAGAATTTGTATTTTTATGGTCATTGTGCCAGTCTGTGTTTCCAAGCCTATCTGTAATGCACCCAACGTGACATTCTCTAAAAAAAAAAACGTAGTTTGTTGTTGTACATCATTATTTCGTGTTTATTTTTCTCTCACACCTTAACAATGCTTTATCAGCACTAATTGCTCCTTAAGGTCAAGTTAACTGAAGCTGGTATATTGTAGCTTGGCTATGTTTACTGAATGCATCCTTACGGCATCTCCAATTATGTGGCTCCTAATTGATGTAAGCAATAATCTTAACATATAATCAACATTATAAACTGTATTCCTTAGCACTGCTTTACGCAAACCATGAACTGTAACATCACATGACCTATTTATTAAATAACTTTAAATGCGCTTTCAAATTCATTGTAGTTTACATTCCTTTGAAAATCCATAGCACACAATGTAGCACTTGACTGTTATGGAGTTTGCAGGAATTGGCAATGGAAGCAAAACATAAAACATGCTGTATATATTTCATCGTTTGAAACCTCTTTTTGACTCGATAAATAAGTAAACACATTATTCAACTTTTAAACTCAACAATTGTTTTCATTTTACCAGGTAAAGCCGACTGAGCTATATTTATCTTTTTGTTCAGAAGCGACCTGGCCACAAATGATAGCACCTCTGATTAGCATGGTTGGTTAGGTACAGTGCGAAAGACGTTCAACATACATACATAAAAGCAAAGTGGCTTATCATGTAGAAATGTATAGCAGCCAAATACTCTAAACGTACGTTTCTAAATTTGGAGGGCAAAACCAGAGGACCCGGATACAAGTCTTTGCAACCACGGGGAGAGTTACATGCAAACTCCAAATGCACAGGTATCAGGGTTGGGATTGAACCCTCAACCTCCTGCATACCAGACGAGGGAGTTAACATCTCGCCACCGTGCCACCCCAACTTGACAATAATCCAGCAGCAACTGTATAACACCTTTGACAAGGCGCTCTTCCTCCCCTAACCCAGCTTAAATATACGCTGCCACGCTTGGTGGTGTTCATTCAGACGCTGTCTTTCCGACACACCTGTTCTTCACCTGAGGACGGCTGCTTGCGTTGTGGCCGAAACGTCGTGAGAATTGTATTTTATTATGATTTATTTTTATTATTTTAATATTTTCCTTCTACGTGACTTGACCGAAAGAACCAAGAAGATGAATCCCTGCAGTCACGAAAGCTTTAAATCGAAATGTATAACAGCTGTTTACCTTATGTCCTGGTGTGTGCGGTGAACACATTTTACAATACAAAAAAAGAACAAATTAATCCACTTTGCTCCATATTTCAATTGTCCCGGTTTCATGCAAACAGACGTGCTGCCAACAACACAGACTGCCACACCTGCCATGGGGTAGGCACTCCAATCCATCAGCGGCCACGGGCGGCTCAGTGTATGGTCGTGCTGGTACAGTCGAATCGCTCACGTGCCACGTAAGACACAGCTATGCTTGTTGGACAACGCCAAATTTCGACTGGCGCCGTGAAAGATTCTGACTTTGAGCTAAGTTGTCGTGTGTTTCGCTTTGTGGTTTCTCGTTTTGGCTCGACTCTGGTCCTGTGGGCTTCTCTGTTTTGCCGTGCATCCATTTTGGCTTAATAAATGAGTATTTATGCCCAAGTCTTCCCTGCCAGCTGCACGGACCACAAAGGGCACAGTGACAAATTGCTCCTTATTTAAGCATTCATTGCCATCGGCAACTCTCGCTCTCACTAAAGTGCAGCAGACTTCCAGTCCCCAGCAGTGACAATACAAGGGACGTCTTAGATGTGATCCAGTGGTTCAGAGGTTAGAGCGCTCAGTTAGCGCTGCTGAGATCCAGGAAGCCATCTGGGATTAAAGTGAAGTTCAGGGAGTTAATGGTTTCGGTTGTGTCACCAATGACTGCATAGAAGAAAAAACACACATCACATTAAATTTGGTTCCGCGCTTAATTTTGCTAAGTAAAAATATTCGTTTTCCTGTCCTACCCGCAGGGCGGGCAGCATAGTTCTGCTTGCTACTGTGTGTGGACCAGAGGTCACTTGAAGGAACATTATATGTATCTCTTATCATATCTGCTTCCATGGACCGTTCTCTATATGAAGGGTAGCACTTTTCTGTGAAATATCTAAATGAATAATTTGTCTCTTTAGATGACACGGGTAGTGCAATCGGGTTAGAATCGGGTGAGAAAGCGACAACAACAGTTTAAGAGACATAAACAATGCAATACCCAGTGCAAGAGTACTACAGTTTCCTATGACTAGAGCCACCTGGATTTGCTAAATGAGCCCCATCCTCAGAAACTCATCAAGACAATCGCCAAGATCCACCCATGAGTTGATGACAGCACAAAGTAGCAAAGCCCAAGGGGGTGGGACTTAAGTCATCTGATCTGCGTTTGCACATTCCCCAGACCAAGTGTGGCCTGAGCAGGCAATTGAGCATTGCAGTTTCCATGGCACTGTCAGGCAAGGCAGTCAAAGCTGTTTAATGACTTGCATCAGCTGCACTTGGACAATTTTGTTTTCGTTCAAGCCATCACTGGACGAGGTGATTGTTTAATTCCTAGAGAGAAGAATGAATTAAGTAAGGGCACATCACAACAGACGGTCTCCAATCCTGAAAGCAATAATCACAGATTAACAATATGCCCGAGTGTCTGTCCTCTCTCCCGCATACTCTTTCTTACCATCTGCCCCTCATCACCACTATCAACTCTTACCTCCGAGGTAGTAAACATCCCCCGTCAATATGTCCAGCGGGTTGTACGATTGGATGGCAGATGCCTCGTCCCCATCCAGGGTCACACCGACAAAGTTCCTCCGGAGAGAGACACTCACGGAATGCCACTGGCCGTCGTTCAGATCCGAGCCTGCATTGTGGATGGGCGAAGCAAGCGGTGAGTGGAAATGCAGTAAACAATGAGTAACTCTGTTTAGCGAATCACAGCATAACGCCATCTCGCTGCGCAATTATGCTCAGGGGCTGGAGTATAGAAAAAATACAAAAACATGGAGTTCAAAAATTGCTTGGGAGGTACCTGGTTCATTAATTCTATAACGTTATCTTCGACAATGAGAATGTAATAATTTAAAATACTGCTCCCAATCACACATTGAAAACAATTGTTCTTAATAAAAAAAAAACGGAACGGTTTGCTTTTATGTGCTTACATTTAAATAGTGCCTAGCATGTGACCTTTATTCCATAGCTGTATATTATTTAGCTGATCTTGCTGTAGTTCAATTTCAATTTCCACTAAACGTAACAAATGAAATGCTTACATTGGTTTGAATAGTATTTGATACTGAGCATAAGAAAAACGTGCGCAACAGTGCCGATCGCTCTGTTCATACTTGCACAACAAACATGATCAATCACACACAGCTCATGCAACATTCACTTAATAACAAAGGGTACAAAAGCCTTCAATTTTAACTCTCCATAGACTAGAGAATCCATGCAATCCATCTAATCCAGACCCAAACTATAACATTGTCCTATACAAAAAGAGAATAAATCCCACTGGGCTCTCTCAATCGACTAAATACTATTAAATTAAAATGTTGTGAGACACTGTATTGATATGTAGACCTTCTGGCCGAAATTAACCAAAATATAATATTTCAAAGTGAAGCATCCATTACTTGACTCTACATTTTTAGTTGTGTTTGGCCCTGTATTCACACGGTGAACTTTCTAAGCGAGTTAACTTAGTGATATATATTATTTATTTGCTGAGGTGTTAATGACGCTACTCGGCTGGGCCACAACAATGACACGACACGACTTTTCCACGTTCCAAATCTGTCCAATAAAGCCCACGTAATAGGAGGCAATCTCCATGCCCCACCTCACAGATATGGCACAAAGACTGCCACCGCTCCACTAAAGCCATGACTTGCGCCAATTTCTTGTTGACAAGTCATTTAATCGAGACATTAAGTTTTATGAGTCACATCATGTCCACTCGAGATATCGTTAGGAAGGCGGTATAAAAAATATACGCCCAGTGTGTAACACGCCTTTCAGCTTTTGTTCACCCATCCACATCCATTGACCTTCCTAACCGTCCTCCCTAATGGCAGCCATCATGCGCGCACCGCCACCGCAGCCACACGCGCACGCACACACCGGCAGACAGGTGCAGGGCGTCGCGGCCCGGCTGCAAAAGTGTCACGGTGAGGCGGCCATCGTCCAGGCCGATGCTCAGAGAGGACGCCCGCGGGCCGGCGGGCGAGAAGGCCGTGTAGACGAGCGTTCCACGTGCGCTCCACGTGCGTAGCTCCAGCACCACGGACAGCGCCTCGTGCCACGCCGGCCCCCACAGCCACAGGGAGCTGCCGGGCAGCGGGAACGTAATGGGCACCACCCGCGGCTCGGCGCACGCAAAGGACACGTTCCCCTGAGGGCACACGGGAGATGACGCGTGGGGGGGAGGGGGCGGTGTGCAGGGTTGGGGGTGGAGAGCCGAAGGGAACAAGTAAAACGGGAGGAGAGTCGAAGGGCAGAAGAGACAGATGGAGAGCGGGAGTGAGAAAGCTGCTCGGATGTGACGGGAGCCACCACGCTCAAGAGCGGCTTCTTACCCTGGAGGCAACATTTTGTAGATGAGATGGGGAGCGACACAGTGCAATACATGTGAATGGCATACATAATACATTTTAAATATGCTCACAAAATGATATTTGGTGCACACGGTTACTGTAACACGATTTGGTACTACGTTCAAATGTGGGTAATGATGTGCATTTTTATATTAAGCATGTCTTAGAATTTATGTCGCTGGGGTTTTTCTTCATAATTTACGAAGAAAAGCAGAAACTTCTCGTTGAACCTTTGTTCCTAGCTCTGGAGAGTTGTTCATCGGAGCAGCAGATGCAGAAGCCTTTGAAACTTTTTCTGGGTATCGTTTTTTTTATACTTTCAATTAGCATACATTAAATCTTCAGCTTCCGTTTAATGTGCACACAGGTCTCAAACAAGACGTCAATTCATTTAAATAAATGCAGCATGTGCTAAAAATATATACATTTAAATGCATCAGCATAAAATCAAATTCTCTTTGTGAAATGGTTCAAGCCAAAATAGTGCATTTCCCGCTGATTTTAATTACCATATGCTGTACGCTTCTGAAGTCAGATAGGCATACGCAGCAAGATTATGCGTAAACATTTGCCTTTTTGAACGTGAGAGCAATGCGGTTAGAGCTTCGTTGGAATGCCTATTCACATTCCAGAAATTGTCGATGCCTAAAAAATAATGTCATTTTAATTTTAACACGGATTTTTTGTAGACTGTTTTTGGGCTGAAATTACTTTGTATTGCATTCTAGACTTCTGTGTTGTATGCACAGCTTGTTACAAACGAAGAAGTAATTTTTTTCAAAGCAGAGGCATCAGGCCTGCTATCATATAAACAACATTGTTCGTATAGAACGGGGGATGGCGATGCAAGATAAATGTGCTCTGCTAGGATTGCAGATAACGCATAATTAATCTTTGGATTAATATCGCACTTTTTGGAAAATAATAAGACTGCTTAATTGTGTTATTTATAGAAAGTGATTGTTAAATCAATGTGTATCACTAGGAAGAAGATGGAGCACAATTAATCTTATCATTAATACTGTACTCTATATATTTGTGTGGGGGGAGGGAAACGACTTAATTGTGCTATTTATCATCAGGACAATATAATGACAGTACATTGTCATAACAGAACCAGGTCTCAGAGAGATATGCAAAGACTCACACAAACATGGGCGGTTGTTTCCAGGCTCCATCACAATGGACTAATAATTCAATACGACTAGGTTCATTCGCTCTACGGGCTACTTTATTGAATAAAAGTGCAATAACCACTAACCTATTCATATATCGTATCATTATCTTGACCGTGGGAACCTACTGATGTCAATCCATTTATATTGGGAAAAGACCATGGAGCTAAATCGCTCTTTTTCAGTGTACTTACATACGCATGTCCTTTGTCAATCCATTTCTGGATGAAGGCATCTGAACGCGGCTTCTCAGGGGAATCGTTTGACAATACGACACCGCACTGGGCATTGTAGTTCAGTAACGTACGGGGAGCAAGGACCGGTTGAGATATCACTTGGCGCTCGCGTTCGCTGAGAATTGATCTTAGACCATGTACAACTCAAAATTGGAATGAAAATTTAAACATGGTGCAACCAATACACTCGAATACAGTAGTTTCAAATAATAGTTTCGGGACAAAATAATATAATGCATTACAAATTTCAGTCGAGGATATTGACAAGTGGTTGGAAACATGTTGCGCGCGTGCACACAAATGTTTACTCTGGCAGGCAAAAATGTCTTCAGTGAGAAAAAGGGTCACGGAGTGATACCGAGCCAACACAACCTGTGGCAAAACAAACATTCTGGCCATCACAGTTGAATGCTACAAGATCCATCACACCAGCTAATAAAGTCACCGACACAGCCCACAAGATATGCAAGACATGTTTCCGAAAGGGCCTCGTCTCCACCGCTAACAGTACGTTGTGCCTCAAAGAGATCTGGAGTCGGGTTACCGTGCAGTCATTTGTCAACCAGTGACCAGAATTCAAGCCAAAGGCTACTCAAATGCATCAACCGTAATGAGTGGTCATTAATATAACAGGCACTCTCATCCATTATAGCAACCCTGTGGAATACACAACTGGCACAAATTGCTGCTCTTGTTTGTAATACCTCCACACAATATTTCAATGACCCATGTTTGTTTTATTCATAAGCATCAGTCTTGTTGCCACCAAATCGCACCGATGCATATGGGATCAGCTCTTAGCCAGACCCCATGAACACTGGCGTCAGAATCTGGCACGACTGTTTACACAAAATTATTCACTACGTAGATTCCCGTGCTACAGCCAGTGTTTTTAAAGCTCTTTTTGGTAAAGTAAATCAATAAATAAACATGCGACTAACAACATCTCACACACATCTTACCATCAAGTGTTTATCACGAAAAATAAGCATAAAAGCTCATCCTAACCGCTTCGATATTTGTGTACGATTCAGATCTTGGGCTCAATACAATGACTAAGAGCTCCCCCACAGTATTAAGAGCCCGTGATGAATTACATATCAGAAGTCCAATGGCTACCACCAGGGGTCCCTGCAGAGGGATGCCTGTGCAGTGCAATATTCTCTCGTTTATTCGCGAGGGATACGTTCTGGAGATACTGGAAAATAGCAAATATCATGCATAACGATATTGGCCTACGAAAACCTATTTTTTTAAATAAATTGTATTTAATAAATACGTAAACAAGCTCTTAAATATATGCAGATTTCCATAACACAAGACATAAAAAAAATTTAAACATACATTTCTAATTAAATAATAATTTGTAAATTAACTCACTTTAAATCATAATGACGATGATAAAGCGAAGTAGAAGGATGCAATAACGATGACCTCATCACTTTATCTCATCACATTCTCTCTTGTCACTTTATCTCATCACTTAATCTTTTCCGAACATAGTTGGACTCGTCCATCTGAACTGCCAAAATCGCTGTCCGTGGTGCTGACGTTAAGAAAAAAACGCCACTTTTTTCAAATGTTCTTGCCGTGTTTTTTCACACCTGATGACGATTGCTTGTGTTGCAGTCGAAACCGCGTGAGAATTGTATTGTTTTATATTTTTATTATTTTATTGTTTCCCTTCTACGTGACTTTACCGAAAGAACCAATAATATTTATCTCATCACTTTCTCTCTCTCTCTCGTCTGCATCTCTCTCGCGAGCAGTCGTGTCGAGTTCCAGATGCGATTTGCGGATAGCCAATACTGTACAAAATATGACACATTGTTGGCAATCTCACTAATAGTTCCCCCTGCGCTTTCTCACCCGCCCATTCCTATTGCCACCAGATTGCACTCTAGCAGAGTGCAACTAAAACTTTTTAAGGACACTTTCCACGCACCCCGCAGCGTACATCAAAGTGCAATCAATCACCGAGCATCTGGAATATGCGCCTCAAACACTCGCAATGCGACTGGGCATTTCGCCGGATGTAAATAAACAAGTAGAGCAAATCAAATGAGTCAGGTGCCATGGAAAGAAGTTTCGCTCCGAGAGTTCATGATGCCCTGCTGACAGCCACGCGAGGGAGAAGGTTTGAGTCGGACAGTTTGACGGCAATCTGATTTTGCCCATTCATTATGCATAATCAGTGAAGAGCTTCTAATCAAAAAAGGCACAATGTCAATTCATCATGCGTGTTGTTACGTGCATTAGAATTCAAGGCCACCTCTGCGTGTCCATGAACGGGAGTAAGCCGGAATCCGGTGCGCCGGTGATCGCACAGAGACAAATGCAACGAGCACTTTTGTTCCAAAGTTTATCGTCGGCCACGATCTATCCACTGTGAGATAAAGGCCTCCTTCGCGGTCTTGCGGTGAACAATCGATCGAGCTCCTACACACAAATGGGCCACATTGCTCCATCTCCAGAGTGGACGTCGTCCCAGGCGTGTACTCCCCTCTGTGCATGCTCTCTAATGCCACGTCTTCTTTCTTGACCCCCCTCATCATCATTCTAAGGAGGCACCTCTCCATGCTTCTTTACGCACTTTTCAGCCTTTGTTTTTATATTCTTCGTCAGTGTCTATATTTCCGATCCGTTGGGCATAGCAGGTAATATTTACTGATTGAAACATGTCCTCTTATGGCACATTGGTATGCAAATAGTTTACTTTCCCAAACAAATTCGATTTTAAATCACCGAGATGTGTCACAGTAATTAATGTGAGGTATTTATGGATGTGTGTTTTACGTGGACATTTTTCACATTTGAACAGCAACGGGTAAATATTTGAAATCACTAATAATTTGCGCGCGTTGATGTTTAAGACTACACGAGGCCACACCTCTCACCGCCTCGGACAACTGAGAATTAGCAATTATAATGAGCAGGGGCATGTGCTTGAACATTAATGCTGAGAAAACGAGCAGAGCACAGTTCCATGGCTGTGATGTAACATGCCAATATATTTGGTGAAACGGCATGCGTGGGTGGGTGGGTGCGTGCGTGCGTGCGTGACATGTGCGTCGGCGCAGTGAACTGTGTACCGTGATGTACACGGCTGGCTTCCTCCGCTTGGCCAGATCTATGAGGTTGACACCGTTGTAGCTGACGTTTTCCAGGCAACCCTGGAAGTTTCGCTTGAAGCTGCTTCTGCCCTTCCCGGGAGTGGACAGCCCTCCAAAGCTCAACTGTGGGGGATGGAATATAGAAAAATTAGCAATCACGTGACATTTCGATTTAAAGCTTTCGTGACTGCAGGGATTCATCTTCTTGGTTCTTTCGGTAAAGTCACGTAGAATGGAAATAATAAAATAATAAGAATAAAACATAATAAAATAATTATCACGACGAGAGCAGGTCTGTCTACTCGACAGACCTGCTCTCCACCTGAGGACGGCTGCTTGCGTTGTAGCCGAAACGTCGTGAGAATTATTTTATTATGTTTCATTTTTATTATTTTATTATTTCCATTCTACGTGACTTTACCGAAAGAACCAAGAAGATGAATCACGTGACAGTTAAATCCTCCTGTGGATGTCCCCATACAACCATATGGGTGTCACACTCCAGTAGGGCGTGCAGCAGCAAAGACCTGGGTCTCACTTCAAAATAGAATATTATCTCTTAAATGTTTTTTTTTTGTAATTACAAAAAAAACATAATAGTCTACCGAATCGCATGGGACACATAAAACATTGTTATAGACTGCAAACTCGATTTTAAATTGCTTTGTACACCTAATTCCAGGACGGTCAATAAAGGTTACAAGAAGGCACCAGAGTCGTGCGTCAAAAACGTAACCTCGTGTTTTTTTTATTCTGAAATAGACCTCCAGATCCCATGGGGCATGTTAAGCCAGAGACGGGTCAAACCAAGCAATAATTTCAGCACGCACTCAAACGCATACAGCCATATAGCTACACACACACCTCGCCCCTCCATGCCTCTGGATTACGCACACTGCTGCTGATGAGGATTGGCCTGTGCCAAGCCCGTTTGGACATTTTTATAAAACCTTTGTGGTTTGCTGGGGCAGATGGCCAATATAAAGACTACACGTTGATAAACAGCACGTTGCTTCTTTTCTTTATTGTGAGCTGGCACCTTCCAAGATGGGCTTCATTAGAGCTAATTGCTCACGATGGGATTGCTGTTTGGTCGTTGGATGTGGCATTTCTCAGGTTGCAATTAAATCATGGGTGCCCTTTAGTCCAACAAACCATGGCAGGGGAGCGACATGCAGGATAACACGTGTCACTCAGATGCGTGTTGACAATCTGTATGCATTTTTGTTTTTTGCATTATTCATCCCCTTCTCTCATTGTCTTTGAATGCCAATTTGTGCATCGGTGATGCCCAGGCAGATAACAGATTTTCGGTCACAGGTTCTGCATCCCGCCGCGTGCAGCACAAGCGATTAGCATCGTTCAGCAAAAAGGAACGCTTCTCAATTAAATGGCCCCCCACTGCAATCGACTGTCAACACGCGACTGGCGCTCACACAAGCGCCAGCACGGCAGACGGCCGTGTGATCTTGGCTGCCTTACCTGTAAAGTTTGCCAAATGGCCAGGCATCCAAGTGGCAAATCAAACGTAGTTGGCATCAAAGGAGGTGAAGGCAAGCCGTTAATATGTCAAGACAAAAAAATCTGCTGGCAAGCAGAGGGCCTTGTAGAGACTAACATTCTGTGTCCAGCTCTGCCAGCGATTTGGTTAATTTCATCTTTGACTGTTTACTCCTCCACACAACATTTTCCTTTTAGGAATATAATCATGAAAAAATTTGAACACACAGTTTAACTTAAAATAACGCATACAAATGCATGAATCAATGAAACTAAGTGTACTTGTGTTTTAATGCATTCCTGAAAAAAGCGTACCCATATACACTCACACACTGGCCAACATATTTTTCAAAAGACCAGAGTGTACGTTTGCACCATCGGAGCAATCCTATGCAGCAATGCATGATATAACTATCGCATAATAAGGATCAAACAAAACAACTAGCAAAGGTCCCTTGTAATAAATACAAAAAAAACAATCATCGAGATTTTGTACATTCTATTGATGTATTCCAAATGCATTACAGTACAAATTCTGTTTAATTGAAACTTCCTTTGAATACTTGCAATCAGGAATGTACATCAGAATGGCAGTCAGGAAATAATTACCATTTTCCAAACTCAGCTGATGGGATTTAGCCAATGGCCTGTAATCATCAAATCCGCAGAGAAGTGCATCCATAGAATTTTAAGCCGACATGCCTGGTGTGTGCTGCTGATAGCAACTGTAAGGGAGCACAGTTTCTTCTTGAACCATAGGCTCTGCTAGACCTGTGGCCTGCTCCCCACTGCCCTTAATCATATTTCGCCGCATATCAAATATCGTCTTGCGTGCAGCTGCTTTACTTATCGCCATTCCTGCATGCTCCCTCTATCTGTAAAGAAACACAAAGCTCCCTGTTGACTCAACAAGCTGTAGTGGCTGTATAAATGTTACAAAGTAGGGGGAGGATCTGATGTCTTGTAAATTAAAACTGTGCACGGACAAATTGAGGAATAAGGTGGCAGCCCATTCGAGATAAAAAAAATCCTTTTCATATGACAGAATCTGGATTTTACTCTAGATGCGTAGAAAATAAATAATAGTTTGTTAAGGTAAATCATGTTTTGCACGTTAAAATGCCAGTTGTAATAATATAATTGTGGGAAAATACAAGGACAATCTGAATATCCATGTGTCCATCTATGGATAGTCTGGGCCTCGCCATAGGATTTTGTCACGTTTACAAAGTTTTCAAGACCACCAATAAGAAATTAGCACTGACGCATGCTCGGTCAATCAAGGAGATTATTTTAATTTCGATTTATGACTGCATTCTTAGTGATGATGTCTGGCGATTGAACAACCACAGCTTTCCACAATGTTCAAGGAAAAAAAACTGAAGAAGGAATTTATGATAAAAATATATGTGAACAAAATAAAAAGAGAGCAATTAAGATACGTAATTAAATACACAAGCAGGTAAAAAACGTGGAAATAAATTTAAACAGAATTTCACTATTTGAAATCCCGAGGCATCAAAGGTTCTGACGATTGTAAATGGGAAACGTGGTACAATTTAAGTAATTTAAGTCGCAATAAAACATAATCGACACAAATTATAGCTAAAAAAAATAGTAGGACCCACTCACAAAGAGTTTTTCGTTCATGTGTTAACTTATTTTAAAAAGTCTGTTCAAAGAAATCTTAACAAATTGTCTCTCCACTGAGTACAATTATACGTCTACTTCAAGGTAACCCGAATGTAGTCTCTAGCTGGTTGCTAAGATCAAGGTAGCCATACAATTCGTAGCCAGTCACATTCAAGGTGGCCGCCTGTGTATCAAGCTCAAGGTTGACCCCTAACGGTCAAGTTCAAGTTGAGCCCTGCTTGGGCGCCAGGCTCCGCGTTGGGCCCACCTGGTAGTCGAGGTCCAGGTAGTCGAAGTCGCCGTTGGTGCGGAAGTGGCGCGTGTGCCCGTCGAGCGTGAGGTTGACGTGGCGGCCGTGGCGATGGAGGCTCACGCCGTGCCAGTGCTGGTCGTCGAGCAGCGTGCCCACCGTCACGCTCGTGTGCCCCGTGGGCGCGCGCTGCTGCCTGCTGCCTGGAGGGGGGCAATGTGCGCTGGGTCACCGAGCGGCGTCGTTTGCGTGCCACTGGCATCGTGTGGTCAAACTGAGAATCCGTTCTGGAAGCCCTCGCAGGGCAGCGTCGGCGTCTTATAGAATAGGGGCTGATGTCGCAAAGCTAATGTCCTTCTGAGAATCCCTTCCAGTGACCTTGGTGTCCACACACGAGAGGGTGCACATTCACACGGGCCCTCCTGTGAAAAAATGTGCCTTCCATTGCTGTCAAAAGAGAATTTTTAAATCCTTTATATTAAGTTCGCTTGCTTGCTTGCTTGCTTGCGTGCTTGCGTGCTTACGACCGTGCAAATCTTTCGGTCGTTTTTTAACCCACTTCCCGTGATCCAATCGAGCTGACATTTTGCACACAGACTCGTTGTGCGAGACAAAATTTTACACTGTTTAGGGAAAACAAATTAATTATTTAATTACCAATTGCTTAATACTGGCAGACAATCATCTGACCCATAGGTGGCAGCCATCTCAAGCTAGAGGACGAGAGGACTCTAGCCGCCACGCATATAAAGGATTTATAGTGAAAAACTTTGTTTTTACGGGTTATACTTGTTTTATTCTTGAATTTAACAAAACCCAGTGAAACCCCACAATAAAGTGTGATGTTTGACGTGCAGTCATTGGTGACCAGGCTAACAGCACGGACAGGCTACACTTGAGAACCAGGTTCCACCAGAGGTGGCTGATGCCTAGATTCAAACCAAGGATGTCAGTGCTCCCAGCTCAATGCCTTAACCCTCAGCCACCCAGGCACAATGACACCCCAATAGACTTGTGAGTCTAATGGAAGGACATTTTAATAGCCACACCATTACACAGAGGTGCCAGCTTGCAAATAGAGCTGCTCAAAAACAGCTATTTTTTTTTTTTTACTCTGAAGCAGCTCTCTTAAGCATTCATCACTGCTTTTCATGGTGTTCATGCAATGGGAAACGCAAATCAATTTCCTCCTCTGAAAAAGAAGAAAATTGGACAAATGTAAAGGTTCGCACAGTAGCTCCAGACATTTCCAGAGAAATGCGGATAAACCTCGCAGTGGGTGCCTTAACACTGAAGCAGGCTCCGGAAAGGTTTGCGTTATCTTGGAGGATTGATACCACAGAATGTAGCTGTGATGAAGACGTACAGTAAGTATACGAATTGGATTGCCTGCTGCTGCTGCATTCGGTAAACTCCCAAGATAAGGAAGGCTAAAGACATCAACACAAAGTGAGTATATGAGACAACAATCATCCCAATACTGTCACACGGAGCAGAGCGTTAAAGCATGATGAAAAAAAGATGAGCGGACGATACTAACCGCAGCAATACGCCGGTGGGGAGGAACACTGGGAGCATTTAGACTGGAGAAAACAACCGGGTCGAGCAAAAAGAATGTTGGGGAAAAAATGAGGCCGGACGTTTGTGATGGTTTAGACACACATTGGAAAAGAGTACTGTTTAATGAGAATGCACAGCAGAGGAAAGTAACAAGCGGGTGAAGGAAGAGCAAAACAGCGCTGGGTAGAAACAGTGAAGGAGGACACGGAGCAGAGAGGTTTAGACATTGAGCAGCGCAGGAGGATTAGCGCAAAACAGACAGAAAGGGAAGAGACTTCCATTGCGCCCCCATCGTTAGGGTAGCTGCGGTAGGGATAGGAAGACGTCCGTTATCGTAATAAATAGTCGTAAAATGTCATCATTAAACTGTAATAGTGTTGTAGTGTCATGATCGGTGTAAGCTTGTCCGTGTAGGTGTGTTATCACAGTAGAGCTCAAGCATTTGTTGAAGTGGGAGGGTAATGAAAGAAATCGTCCTCAGGCTGGATCATGTTTTCCGCCTGAGGACGACTGCTTGTGTTGCGATCGAAACGTCGTGATATATTATTTTTATTTTTGTATACCTACGTGACTTTACCGAAAGAACCAAAGATTATGGCTTCCTGCAGTCACGCAAGCTTCAAATCGAGATTAACGCAAGCAGCTTTCGCGGTGTTAACGTGAACGACTTACGGCATGAAATTACGTTTCGTCTTACATCGCGTTGTGATGACCGTAACGGGTAACAACGACGCGCGCGCCACGTCTGGCCATGGGGGGCCCCTCGCCACGTACCGAGGTTGAGGTTCAACTGCAGTCGGGCGCGATGAACCGCCAGCGTGAGGAAGTCTCCCTGCTGCCCCTCCCCGTGCAGCAGCACTCCGTCCGCCGCCGCCGTCTTGAAGCGCAGCGCCACGGCGTCCTTCAGCGTGCGCATGCTCTTGTGCGCAAAGCGGTATGCCAGGGCGCTGCGTCCATCCAGGTGCGCTACGTCTGAAGCTGCCGGTAGGAGAAGGGGTTGGTAGAGGGGGGCACGGTGTTACGAGGCAAGAGTCGAAAGGATTTCCTAACCTCACCCCCCCCCCCCCCCACAACTCTCACTGCCCCCCCCCCCCCAGGTTATGTGCCGCACAATGTTGAGCACCTTCACCGTAATTCTAGATTTGAAGCTTTCGTGACTGCAAGGATTCATATTCTTGGGTTTTTTTCGGTAAAGTCACGTAGGTAAAAAAATTTAATTAATAAAAGTAAAATTAAAATAAAATAAAAATCACGACGTTTCGGAGAAGCGTGTGTTGCCTCCGAAACGTCGTGATTTTTATTTTATTTCTATTTTACTTTTATTAATTTAAATTTTTTGCCTACGTAACTTTACCGAAAAAAAACCTAAGAACACCTTCACAGTATTGATTTCAACCGCTGGTGGAAACGTGCCAACGTCTTCAGTCAGCAGCTGCAGGGCGACTTGCCGAGGCGAAGACTACGTTCGACGCTCGTTTTGTTAAGATGTGGCGCTGCTACTCGTCGTCGCTACTCGGCCCAAATCTGTTGGGGAGGCCCTGGGCCAGTGGTGGGGGCCGGTCTCCCTAAAACGATGATTACTGTTGTTGACTACCCACAGATTGGAATCACGCACAGCATTCGCTCGCTCTCGAAGAGAGCGGATGACACAGAGGCAACAAGGAAACCACAGACAGGTAGGAAGGCAGCCACGCAGTGAGCCGGTGCCAACAATTGCTCCAGCTCCACGGCCCTCCACATACGAAGGTGTGATCAGCCATTTGAGTGTTTACACGCAGGAGGAAACTGGAACACTCGCAATTAACAAACGCATGCGACGGGCGCACAATCTATCCCATACAGATGTAAAGCATGGAGTCCGACATTTTTGCTGAACTGCATTCTCCTGGCAAGCCAGAGCATAACACCTGAACGCGCACAGCAAGGGAGTATCACAATTATTGTGCGATCCACCAATCCTTGCCTCTTCGGTGCTGGATGACAGGCAAGCAAAATCACTGCTGACTACTCGTTTTATTGGCCTTGTAGGGATGATAGAATGAAATTACCCCCAACCAAGCTGGCAGCCCCTCTGTCGAGTCGGTTGCTATGTCAGTGGCGCCGCTGCCTGAGTGATAGAGCCAGTGTTGCTGGCTCACGCATGCCACACTCCTGCCCCAGTGGGATGAGAGGTAGCCACAAGATGACAATGCAGCAAGAGCATTCCTGTCTCTGTGTGGACTCTGACTAACCCCTCGTACGCCTGGCCTTTCTTTGCGTACTGCAATTAACGCACCGACATTTATGAATGTTTAGACGCTACACCTCCAATGGCAAATCTCCAGACAACACTTGAACTTGACCTTGAACGAATATAAGTTAATTTCATTATTGTGGAGATGTTCGAGTCGAGAGTGAGCCTTACTTCGACTTCACTTGATTGAGGTCTTGACACAATGGTCATCCCAAAATCATTTCCATGTCAACTTTCCCCATCAGCATCGCCATCAACATTTCATGACTGTCCGCTGCACATGCATTGGCAGGGTGCAGCAGGATCACTATGGCATGCTTCCTGTGTGGGCATCCCTTCATCATTGTTATGGAAGTAATGTTTCATTGACATTGGGTAGGAAGACTAGAAAAAAAACATATACCAACTTCGACGTAAACATTTACAAAACGCTATTGCAAAGGTCAGGAGGTAATGGCCATTTGACTCAAAGCCATTAATGACTACTTGAAAACTAATGTTGAAGAAGGAAAGGTCCCATTCAGTAATGAGACCTATGAATTACTTTCAGCAAATGTCTTACGTTTCCCTTTGTACGGTAAGTCCTCGCTTCACGCGTGGTGTTTCACACAAAGCGTTTTTGCTGCAACGCGGTTCTTCCATTCGGGAGCACTTTTCGCACACGCGGAAGAAACACCACTATAACGTGGCCTCTGAGCGGTTGACGACGAACTACTTTCTTTAGCTGCCTGGCTGAGCAGAGTGATCGAGTTATTAGTGCCACTATCTTACTCGGTGTGTGGAGAGCGATAGTGCAGCGGTTAGCACTTCACGCGCTTCAAACCCGGCAACCAGAGTTCGATTCCTGCTCACGGCCAAAACCAGTGACGATTATCTGAACTGGTCCTGGGCCTCCTCTAGGTCGACTTAGCCTAAAATATAGTACCTAGTGCGGTGTGTAATCATCTGGGGAGACAAAGGCGGCCGGGCGTGGTGTGCCGTGCCAGCCTTCATAGGTGCTCACTAACAGCACTTAACCCAGCGGTCTGTTGAGGCTATACGGGGATCTTTGTCTATGTTTACATCGTATCTCCCCAAACTTCATCGTTACATTTACGCGGACATTTTTGTTTCCGCTAAATCCATTTTTTTTGTTTAACTTTTCAGGCAACGCATCTACTGCGTTAAATGAGGACTGTATAGAGAAGCACGGGTGAAGCACAGTGCAAAATACAGCCACCCCCCAAACCCACCAACACCACCCATTCTAGATTTGAAGCTTTCGTGACTGCAAGGATTCATACTCTTAGTTCTTTCGGTAAGTCACGTAGGTAAAAAATGAAATTAAAATTTATAAAAATAAAATAATAAAATAAAAATAATATTTGATTTTATTTAATAATAATAATATTTGATTTGATTTTTATTAATTTCATTTTTTTACCTACGTGACTTTACCGAAAGAACTAAGAGTATGTTTTCTCCATTCCCATACCTCGAATTTCATCCCTTGAATTCAAATACAGTGTGTCTGGCGGACATTACTCGCTTCACCTGCAGTAACTGTTTTTGTACCCTTACCACTTTTACCACAATCTTTGTCTTAACCCCCCCCACCTTCACCCAGCCGTAGAATCCGAACACAGCCGCTGCCAGCAACGACACTGGGCACCAAGTTACCGTCCATCGTTCACTGATTTACCAACTCATCACCAGCACAGCCGTTCACAGTGAACAATGTGTCGCCGGTAATTATCTGGTGTCGCTTTCTGGTGTGCATTAACGCGCAGGGATGGCGCGCTGCTTGACAGCAGCGAGAGACATCAGTGGCCTATGGTGCAAACTTTCGCGACATCTCCCACACAACTCCCATCCGTCCTCCTCGAAGCTATCCAGTCCCACAGGAAGTCACGGGTTAAGACATTTCACAGTTTGCTTATTAAGTGAAATGTAGCGGTGGGAGGTGGGGGGGGGGACTATAGAATAGCAGTTCCTGTACCTTGATTAAATGAAAGCAGGGAACAATTTTTTGTTGTTGCGGAAATCATTGCTATTCAGAGCTAACGGCCCTTTGTCGTCACGGGACAGGCGAGAGGGCCACATTCACACTGCCGCGCGCCCTTCACGCTCCTCGTCTGACCCACCGATGACGCCTGCCTCCTTTAAACTGTGGAGGTCAAGCCCTGCGCGTCTCCCCCCCCCCCCCCCGCCCCCCCCCCGCCCCCCCTGAAAACTGTCAAAATTGAAATTAGCGAGCTGGAATACGATTCATTTTCTGCTGCCTTCGGGGATGGCGGGGTGTTTCGTCGAGAAATTCAACAGTTGGTCACAACTGTGGGAGAGATTTCACGTCGCTGCCAGACGAGTGTGGATTGTCCACCGACTTGCCTCGGGGCCACCAACCGCGATGAATCGGCACACAGCCATTCGCAGCTCTCGTGATTCAATAGATTCACGATTGCGATTTGATTCAAGATGAGTGGGTTTTTTTTTTCTTCAGTTGTGATTAATGTAAAGGCCTCCAGCAGCTCGAGGGGTCAGGTGAATCCATTGCATGCAACGCGTGGGAATCAGAACAAGCCACCGTTTGTCACGCACATGATTTGACGCATTATTGTGAGCTTGAGGATCAATGTTAATCGCTCGATCTGTGTATCCTTACACCCAAGAGCAGCGGTCGGGAACCTATGGCTTGCGAGCCATATATGGCTCTTCCAGTGATGGCATATGGCTCCCAGACAATTTTGAGTTGAAAAAAAATAATAATAAAAAAATAAGTTTGGAACTGATTTTAAAATACTTGTGATATTGCTTAATACTACTGTGTCATTTTAAAGTAAACAGAAATTAGTTTTGAAGATAAATTTCACGGGTCACGCCTGCACGAAGCTCAACCTCACCACGTATGAACCAGACTACAAGGCCATCAGCAAAACCATGCAGCACCAGAAGTCGCATTAAAAGTAAGACATATTTCATTTATTATACGTTAAAAATACTATATGGCTCTCAATGAAATATATTTAGAAATATTTGGCTTTTATGGCTCTCCCAGTCAAAAAGGTTCCCGACCTCTGGTCTAGAGCAATGAACAGTTGCTTGATGCCCCTTTTGAGTAAGGAGACACCGACTTGTTTTGGCTTGAAGCAACAGACGTCTTTCACCTGTTTCTCTCCAGCAATAGCAACTGCCATTGGTAACCCATAGCACACAGCCTTGCCCTGCGAATGCCCCACACAGGAGACCTCACGAGTGGTGCTCACCGCTCGGGGGAGAGACTGAGGCCTCGCTAAAAATGATCTCTGCCACTCACGTGAATTCTCCAAGCATCATTAACGTATTTGCGTTCGGTACCATCTGCCTTAACTTTCATTTCTGGCGCTCCAGCACGAATGCCAGGTCGATGTAGAGCACTTTCAACAAGTCAGGGAAAAAAATTACTTGGAGGTAGCCTCGAACGGCGCGGCAGGAGTGCACGCTGTGTGACAGTTTTAGCTCTTGCTGAAACAGAATCAACTTGTGAAGAGCGGATGTCGGGAAGAAACGGCGACAGCCTGTGCAGACTGCAAAGCGTCGCGTGCCGAGTGCGCGATGGCGGTGGCGATGGGACGATAACGACGCTCGCGAGAGCGTGCACGGTGCCATGCGGTGAGGAATGGACAAAATTAGTGATAACTTCCAGCCGCGAGGGACCCATCCGTCACGCCGCACCACCTCAAGAAGCGGTGGGGTAGCAAGTAAACAGAGGAAAGAAGGGAGGAACATA